TCCATTATTTGAATGGACATTAACTTGGCGACTGTATTTCTCTATTTCTCTTAAGTATTAATTGTGTGCATGTACCATCATAAAATTAAGATGTTATTTTTACTACAACATAGGTATGTGCCTTCAAAAAGTGGAGTTTGGGGGTCGGGCCGGTTTCTATTGGAATTAATCCCATATGTTCTGTTGTTCACTTAACGCGGATTTCACTTAACACGGGACCCTCTGGGTTCAATTGACCGCGTTAAGTGGGGTACAACTGTATATATATACAGTATTACCCCGCTTTACAGGGTTTCAATTTACGCGATTTCTCATATACGCGGTGCCTCGCCAGAACCGAACTTTCACTTTCCGCGGTTCATCTACCCACATACGCGCAGAGTGTCCGGCTCGACGCTATTTTTAGATTCGCCCCACCCGCCTCCTCCCTCCTCCCGCCTCCGCCTGGGCAAGCCACGCGGTAAGGTTGCGCAGTGCATGTCTCTGTTGCGTTATCACTGACGTCATATGACGTATCGGACTGTGATTGGCCATGCATCCCTACCCCCCTCTGCTGCTAGCTGCAATTGGTTTAAAGTAATATGACGTGTCCACCCGGGGAGGGAGGGAGGGAGGGAGGAAAGACGACGCTTGACCTAGCCGTGGCAGTTTCATCCCTCCAGGCCACACCATGTATACGTGCATCCATTGTTCTGTGATAGTGATAGTGACAGTGAAGGTGACTTTGAGGGATTTGTCAGGGAAGCCCTGACAACTGTAACTGATAGTGATGGTGATGCACCTAGTAATGGTGATTCACCTGAGGGCCAGTAATCTGCCCTCTGCCTCGGAACCAGCCTCCATCCCCGTATGCCGACCCATCTCTTCTACTAACGTAAGTGTTACACCTAGCTTTTAGTTTTCGTAACCTAACTTCTTCTATATTACTTGTTTGTGCATACCATCATAAAGTTAAGATAAAATTTTTACTACAACATAGTTGTGTGTCGTCAAAAAGTGGAGTTTGGGGGTCGGGCCAGTCTCTATTGGAATTAATCCCATATGTTCTGTTGTTCCATTTACGCGGATTTCACTTTCCGCGGTACCCTGTGGGTTCAATTGACCGCGTAAATCGGGGTACTACTGTATATATATTTATAATTATATTTATATTTATTTAGTGGGTCTAAATGGTCGTAAAATGGGAAACTTGGGGTTGAGTGCCTGGAACCAATTAGAATAAATCCCAAAGGTTTCTGTACTTTCGGACAACGTCCATTTCAGTTAACATCACGTTTCCAAGAACGTATCTAGGACGTTAACCGGCGCATGACTGTACTGTACAAACTTATGAACACAGTGAGTATGAATGGTACTAACTTGAGAGTTATCCTAAGCTGAAGCAGTACTAAAGTTTGGTTCACATATAATGTTCTCATCACTCTCGGAAGAATCACTTGGCTCATAAAGGAAAATAGAGCCGTCGCTATACATCCGCAACCTAATCTTCTCCTCTTCCTGTGGGCAAATTCTAAATCATGTAAAAGATATTATATACAATAGCTAAATACTGTACAAATAAAACAGGATGAAGTTTATGTTTTATACCAATTCTAACATTTTAATTTTGTTTGCCTTTTTTTTTCAATAAAAAATTCAGAGCTTCATATGAAGTGAATCTAAAAAATTATACCACTTCTGATACTTTTTAGCTCTAACTTACATTGTGCAATATAAAACTTGACTAGACTACACTACACTATATTGGAAGTTTGGTAATAATTAAGACTGTTGTTGTACCTGTACTGCACTTACAAAACTTATTCTTAAGACCCAAAAGCCATAAGCACATTTTATCACATACAAAAAATGTTTATCACAAGTTTACATTTGTAGATCCAATTTATTGTAGTTTAATTTTATGACCAAAGAATTTGATTATTACAATGTTATCATAAGAGAAAAATTTAAAATACATGTGAGTCAATGTAACTCTTGTAGATGCAGAGATACATATAGTTTATGTGTGTATGCAATAGCTGAGTGGAAAACAGACCTGCCAGTGTTTCACCAAGTACACCTTGTGTCAAGAAACAGTGAAAGCTCTCATCTTAGAGGTGAATTCAGTGCTGCTCGTACAACGTGAGCATGGTGAAGGAACAACAGCTGATGAACAGTCGTGAGAGGGAGGACATATAGTTCATATTGTATTTCATATACTGTACAGTATACTTGTAAACATTACAGAATTTCTTTAAATTTACAAGGATCAATAAGTTTCTGTACAAAAGATCAGCTTTACTCTCAGCTGAAGGCTTAGTTAACCTAATAAAACAAATGCACTTGCAAGACAATACAGCATCTTCACACAACTAACATTAACATCTAAGATTATATGGCTGCAGTTACATTCAACATAAGAGCCTACAACCACCAGGGACACTTAACTATTAGCCAGGTGGGAGTAGGAGGAGAGTCCACACCATATGAACAAGTGACTGGTATCCAAACATCATGGTTTGTAATTGATGTCAACAAACAATGAATGGATCAAAGTTGCTTGGTCTGATCAACAACAAAACTGTCAAGCAAATTCACCTTTTTAAGTACAGTATCAAATTGATTTAGTTAAGATCCCATTACAAGCTAGAGCTGAGGCCTGGGGTCTTAGTCCTTAAACTCACTGACTAGAATACTCGATCTGGACCTAAAGTTATACAAATTTTAAATATCCAAAACAAATTTTTCAGAAATTTACTATGAAGTTCCTCTGCATATGTATAGTATAGCTTGAATTTTATTTGTCACATTTGAAACTTCATTCAAGCCACACAGAAAGGTTTGATCAAGAACTTTTGAATTCTATACAAATTTTTCAGGCGATAACAACATGACAAACAATGGTCACCTTCTCTGTAAACATTACCAAAGTTCATTTTAACATGAGCTTGTCACTGCTTGTGTGGCCAGGATGAATGTGAAGAGCAAATGTGAGATTTAAAAACAATGACCACATGGCACCTGTTCCATCCCTAACATACTGTACAGTATATGGCAGACTGATCAGTACAGAAGCAGTTTTTCCGCCAATGATAGATGATAAACAACCACTGTACTTCCTGCCTGGAAAGATATTGGAAGCATAATGTGTTGTCTAATGGTAGACCCTGTTGCCATATGGCATTACGAAAATTGTGACCAAGTCCCAGGTTGCTGATCTGACTTTCTGCCTCATTTACACACAATTGCAGGGTCTCAATTGTTTCTTACTTTGACAACACAACATATATATATATATTGTTTCTCACTATTAATCTTTAAGTTTTATGGTCCATTATTATTATTATTATTATTATTATTATTATTATTATTATTATTATTATTATTATTATTATTATTGTTATTGTTGTCCTTATTATTATATTATATTTTTATTTAATATTTTTTCTAATATTTTTAATAATAATAATTATTATTATTACTATAATTTTACCCCCAGACCCTGATGTGGGTCATTGACCTGTGCCCGGGTGGGCTAATCCCATAAAAAATAAAATAAATAAATACAAATTCTAAAAAACAATTTTTGTGATATACTGTAGTCCAGAATGCGACGTCTAGCTTTATACCTAGGTATGTAAATGCCTAGCATTAACTTGCCAGGCCAACATACAGGCAATTAAAACATCTAATAATGACTTAATACGTAATACTAGGAGGACATGTCACTACCTGGCATTTAATTGCAACTCTCAAAACCCCCTCCCACACCCTCCATCACACGCTTTGCTACCGTCATCTCTTGCCCTAGAGCGAGCAGTAAACAAATGTCGACTCTTGAAGTGGTGGAGATGGGTGGGATGTCAACGTCGCATTCTGGACTGCGTACAGTATATCACAAAAACTGGTTTTTAGAAAAAAATGCTTTTTGTTCAATCCACAATGTGACGTCTAGCTTTGATTACCCGAACAGGAGGTGGAGAGGGAGGTGACATTGCTTATAAGGCTCCGCTAGCTTAGGTCCAGATTATAATTATAAACTTTTTGGAATATTTTCCAATACAGTATTAGGAACATTTACCGGAAGGTAAAATGTTAATTTACATATCTCAATGAGTATACTCACTTTATTCTGATGAGGAAGAAGGTCCTGGTTGTGGAGATGACTAGGTGGGGGAGGGGACCCCAGCACCACCACATGTGAAGCAACTTTCAGAGATAGATGAACATAGCTGTTTTGAAAGGTTTTTGAAGATTTCCAAAAGCCCACTTCTTTGATCTGACTGAGGCTCATATGCTGCAGAAAGACCACAGACCCTGCATATTTCCTGGTGTCATGTGCCCAAAATTTCTTGCCAGGGTCTGCTTGACTCACTGAGATAAATATTTTGTCATATGACAAGGAGACAATTTCTTACCAACCTGTGATGAGAATACATAGGGGCCTCAATTAGGGAATCTGGTTAACCATTCTTGAAGATTCTTAACTGGGCACAATATATGAGGAACCCTTATCTCATCCATTAACCGTTTTATCCTGATAGGTTGAGCTTGAAAATCCTCCCTTTAATTTTTTCTTAGGATCTCCGTAGGAAAAAAGGTAACATCTTCCTCAGAAAATACCAATAATGATGGATTATTGGAAATTTAAATCAGCCAGGTAGCGACGTGCCCTCCTAATATTCTGTATTAAGTCATAATTAGATGTTTTAATTGCCTGTATGTTGGCCTGGCAAGTTAATGCTAGGCATTTACATACCTAGGTATAAAGCTAGACGTTGCATTCTGGATTGAAAAAAAAAGTTTTCTACATTTAAGTCAGTAGATTGTTTCAGCCATACCTAAAATTCTCTCATAAGTCACATTCTCATCTCTCCCTTATACAAATAGGAATTTATATAGTTAAACCATCCTTTGAGATGATTACTGTACTTTAAAGATTGCATGTTAATGAAAAGACTTACCTTCTTTTATCACTGTCATAAAATATTACGCCCCTACAGAAGTTAAACCGACCATACCTCACGCCAGGATCCTGAGTGAACAAAGCAGATGAGAACAACAGTCATGTTGTCACAGCCCAAACCACCCATCTGGCAGTCAGGAGCCAGACACCGGGTCATGAGGTCCTCACACACATCTTCTGGTTCCATGCCCTGTGACAGCCGTAGTCGTATAAAGTTTACCACTTCCTGCGAACACATATCATAGAGTGACATACTGTACAGACTAGTTTCATATATATTAAACCCTCCACAGTTCTGAATAACTGCCACTCATGCCTCTATGATTGTAGGATTTAAAATTAGGTGAAAATTTTTCAATATTTTGTAATATTTCAAAATACCTGTATTCCAAATCATGGTATATACAGCTCCTCCCCGACTTACGACCTACTCAACTTACGACCACTCACACTTACGACCGCCTCAGTCGTACCAAAATTTTGACAAATTATGTATTTTTGAGTCCCAATGTCAGTACACAGACAAAATTTTTCTTTGTAATTCACTTTAAAATGGCTGGCAAGCTTAAAAGTGAGTTTTGTGGTGCTGAGAAGAAAAAAAGACACCCATTTTAGATTTTCTATGAATTATTTAAGCATTTTTAACTTACGACCATTTCGACTTACAACCTGGATTTGGGTCCCTAACCCCGTCGTAAGTAGGGGAGGAGCTGTACAGTACTCCAACCCGAAAAACTGCATAACTATTAGTTAATGCACTGAAACAACTACAGTATTTTCTCTATTTAATGAACTAATTCGAGCCACCCCTTTCTGTTATATCGAAAATGCCACTAAATCGAACTTTACATTATTTTTGCTCGATTTAACAAACTAGTTCACTAAATCGAGCGTGATTCCATTAAATTCTGTGCCAAATGCACCACTGGCAAGTGGGGTTTATTTTCATCCGCTCAGTCTGTGTCCTTCCACCACCGTGTGTGTTGTTCACTGCTACCTCTCGGTCTACCTCTCAGTCAACTAACTACTGTGCTTAAGAAATCATGCCAAAAGTCTCCCAGAAGTCTCAGAAAGGAACTGGTGTGGGGGAGAAAGTCAAAAGAGTGCAGCTAGCAATTGGATAAAGTTTGGAAATACATAACAGAAAAGTTTTAAACAAACACTGAACCCCCTAGTTTAAGGCAAGCTATGAATAATGTTTCTATGCACATATATGTGTCTGAGGTGTCTCCGTAGACGTGAGCGTATTAACAGAATTAATCCCGATTAAGTGAACTAGTTCACTGAATCAAGCTTAAAATAATGTAAAAAATTTCATTCAGCTAAATTGAGAATTTGTTATATCGGATTCCATTAAATCGAGAGTACTGTAGTATACTGTACTACTTTGCATGTTTCACTCCAACAAGTAATTCAGAGTGAAGAAAACATATAATTAAAAAATGGCTGGAAGAAAATTAAGGAGCTGCTGCTTTTATTGATAGGAAGAGGAACTTCCCTCCGGGTGTAAGGAAAGATGTAGATAACTGGCATGAAAAGTATGGACATTGAGTCTTGATACAGTTGGGATTACGAGGAATGTGGATTTGAGTTGTGACAACACTGTTGGTACCTGTCCCTGTACTGCCCAAACACAGTGTCCTCAGATGGTCTTATTTCTTCCAGTAATCATAAAGAACAGGTCTGTAGACACAGGGCATCAACATGGTTGGGATGAAAACAAACAAAAGATCATTCACGATTGTATTGTAAAATTGTTTTTCCACAATGATTTTGTGGTCCAAATTATCGCCACTACTCCAGTCTCCTGCACTACACACACCTTGTGCAACATGTGGAAAAGTTCTTCTACCTCATTTTCCTCGTCTCTTCTCCCAGTCACTCGGCACTTTTAGGCTGATGACTAGTTCATCAGTCACTCTCGCTGAAGCTCACACACCAACTATCATTTCTGAATTCACTCGTCAAATCTACCAGTTCTCCAATCTCACCCTCGCTCTCTGATTGCCATAATATATTACTTACTTTTGTCGATGTCAAGGCAAAACTACTGCAGTGAGGGGTCTTTTCACACCCTGCACTTTTATGCCAAAAGTAGAGGTCAAACTATACAGAGTATATGCATAATATTTTTGAGGGGTTAAATATTATGCATTTCTGTGGGTCATTTATGGTGAATGATAGCCACTGGACGTGCATACTGTACCCCTGGATTTTTTCATTATGTTGCTACATGAAGAGCAGAACAAATACCTGATACAAATGAAGATTTACAGATAATTTTCTTATCATTTGCATGTGTTAACATCACTGGAGGCGTTGTTCCCATGTTAGACTTGTCAGTGTAACCACATCCCCTTAGACCTCTCACTACCAGGCTTAGCTGTTATTAGTATTTTTCAACTTGTAATATTGGACGCACACACACACACACACACACAATGTGAAAAAATATATATCTCATTCGGTCAAGAACATAAAGGGAATAAACATTTCTTCATATACGAGAGTTAACATTCTGAGTGAGGGATGGGATCATGTTTCCTGAGGATATAATGCATACTTGAATACGTATTTACACAGATGTGCTAATACAGAGGTAATGGGAAATGTTTGAGAGGAGCTGTAAGGTTACCTCACTGGATGGATCTGTACTTGAACACCCAGACAATTATCAAAGGTCTTGGCATATAGAACAAAAAATACTGGGTAACTCTGTGCATAAATAATTGACACGACTCCCTCCCAGTGCCAGGAGTAGATTACCTCCCTCATGCGCCTATACTGATTAAAGCAAGATCATGTTCACTCTTGGATGTTGAGAGCAAATACTTAATTCCATCAAGAGAATGATGCTCAATGTACAGGCCTACAATATTGAGGTACTGTACAGTGTGACAAACTACATGAAAATCTCCGAACTCAATAACTTTTGGGATTTGTAGACAACAAACTTTCTCCCTTTCCTGTACACCTCCAGTAATAGAAGTCCTAAAACAAGTTGATGAATATTAAGACAGTTTTACGGTCAAGCTGTACAGTACTGTTCTTTGGTTGGGTCACATGGAATGAAAAATAAGTGGTTGGGAAACTTATTAGGTATTCACTGTAGATGAGGAAGGAATGATTTTACACACACACACAAAAAAAGAGTGAACTGAACTACAGCATACATAGGAAAACAAACTTAAAAAATACAGTAAGTACAATCCCCTTCTCTAGTGCGTTTACAGGAGCTCGTCTGGTTTGGTACGGTGTGGCAGCCCTGTGTTTGTTTACGTTTGACAAAAGGAAACTCGCAATAGTAAACATAATATGGAATCAAATTAAAACTATGTTAAAACAAATATCTCAATGTAATGATTTGTGGAATGTTTATATGACGAGGCCCTGTAAACGCACTAGTGAAGGTGACTGTACCTAGGCTATATGACGAGCCCCTGTAAATGCACTAGTGAAGGGGACTGTACATCCTGAATCGCATGAAAATCAAGTACAGCAGAGGATTACACAAGAGTAGACAGTACAGTATAAAGAAACTACCGACTCTTACCTGGTTGGTCATGACATCCCATATGCCATCACACGCTAACACGATGAACTCCCATTCTTCTGTCAGCTCTCTAACAATTACGTCTGGAGATGCTGTGGGACATCACGATATAACCCAGTTACTTGTGATCAAATTCTCAAAGGTTCATTAGTTTAATATCTCTCGTAACAATAGATGTGGGGATGCACCTAACTGGTTGAATTAAACTAAAATATAAAATTAATACATAAATTCATATCAAACCTGAGGCTCTACATAAAATATTCTTGATCTTAATTATCCTCTCTTCACCCTTAAGTTGTAAATACTGTAAAGTGTTACTTCTCTCTACCAAACATCTATACTGTACTGTATAATGAAATTCACTATACTGTACTGTATACTGAACAGCTCCTCAGATTCCAGTAATACCTCTCTATTCGAACAAATTCACCAAATACTGAACCCTCTCCTGTACCCCCTCCTCAAATATCTCAATTATTCAAATATAATATTGTAATAGAAAGCTCAATTGTGACTTATAAATCAAGAAAATATACTGTAATACTGAACAGAACTATAAAATAAGAACAATGAGTGGTGAGAAATTACTGTAATTCTGTGTGGGAGGAAAGACAGGATGCTGACTGGACCGAGCGGAAAATTCCCCCATTGGTCCCATGACCCCCATAAAACGACACACTATAAATTCACCATATTTTCCATATTATTAAGGTTCATTTGGTAACGGGTTAATAAAACATCATCGTAAAATAATCAGCCCCCCCCCCCCAACAAAAAAAAAATCCCACTCTAGACTTCAGATGAATTATTATGTCTTATTAAATTCCTGAACTGTTTTTTCTACAATATATCTGTGTGTTAATGGATTTTTTGAAGTACAGTATTATGTACAATATTTAGTGTTTATTAAAGTCTTGTGTTCGTAAACTATATTTTATTTAACAAAAAATACAGTACTGTATTGTGACAATTTATTTGGACTAAAAATATCAAACATTTTCAATATTAGACAAGATTTTTTTAATTCATTTTCAACCCCCCAAAACTCCCTATACTGAACTGGCTACTCACCAATTATTTCAGTCTAGAGAGGTAATACTGTACAGGAAAACCTGGTTGGTATATGAAGAAGGAGGAGCAGGGAGTGGTACCTGCCTTGGCACCATCATTATCTTCTTCACTACAGCCAGTAAAATCATCACAAGCTTACACTTCTGGTTTTACCCAGCTGCTGCCATCAAGTAGTAATCACAGATAATCCAAGCAGGCATGGAGAATTACCAGTAAATGTTGTTGTTTATGATGAAGAGTGCCAAATCAAGAGCCTCATATGCAGCCGTCTGAGAGTTCTGTGTGAGTCTCTTGAGGCTTACAGGTTAACGAGTGCTAAATAAACACACGGTAGGCTTGGATTATGTCTCACTTTTTTTACTGCTATTTCTCTTATATTTCACGGCTATCTAAATTATTACCGATTTACTGTTTATTGCGAGAATTATTTCTATTTCACGAGAAAGACAGACTAGAAGCTTTTTAAATCAACCACCAAGACAATACAACTATCTCACATGTGAACTTCCCCAGCTGCAGTGACAGCATCACCCAGCAAGTGCTCACTCACAGCCAAGGAAACTTGCTCTTCCTGTCACAATTCACCCTGAGTTTACCACATGCACCACTTGCCAAGATGTCTAAATGCTCAACAGCTTCTTCTTCTCCCAGTTCAAGTGAAAAAAGAGAAAGATGTTTAATTTAGAAGAGGTCAAATTTTGGATGAACTTGACTGTGGAATAAGTGTGCTAACTGTGGCAAGCTGAAATGGGATAAATGGAAACACAATTTGCTGCATCAAACTGAAGGTTGACAAGATTCGTGAAGCACATGTACAGCCATCCATGTGCAAGACTATCCAGGGTATAAGGCTGCCACTGTACCAAGAAATGGAGGATGCTTCCAGGATTTATTATTGGCCTGGCGAGTTAATGCTAGGGATTTACATACCTAGGTATAAAGCCAGACGTCGCATTCTGGACTATCACAAAGACTCTTTTTTAGAAAAAGCTGCTTTTTTGCCTCATGAAAACCTCAAAAATGGAAGGAATAAATTTTCATAATATTATTTTTATTATTTTTCCATCTCGAGCACAATTCTACGGCCTCACTACAACATGATATTCATTGTTTACATCCAAGATGCTTCCAAAAACTTACCAAATACTGCCACATAAAATGATTTATCGGTGCCAAAATGGACCAACTTAACTTCTTAACCTATTTAACCTCGGTTAGATTAGGTAATAGGTATACAGTCATGCGCCGGTTAACGTCCGACCGAACAACGTCCGATCGCATATACGTCCGTGGACCCCCCAAAAAAAAATCTGTGACGCCTGCTGGACCACCACTCCACGACCCCCTGACGGAGACTCGATGATCCTCCCCATACTGGTCAGATATTATGTGTTAAAGGAATATGCTTCCTTGATTAGGCTTTTTTTAAACATTTGCCTCCAGGTGTAATGTTAACCTACATCTATTGAGGATAAAATCTTTCACCTACAAATTGACAATAACACTTTGCTGTAACCAGACATATCTAGTTGCCTCAACAATTGCAACCCCAGCTGCAATTGGGGTTGCAATTTCAAATTCTGTGGCATTACTAAGTATAGTGAAGTCTCTGGTGCACTCTATGTTTAAGAGAGAAAACGGAGGACTCAGGCGTCCTGATGTGAGAGAAAACGGACTCGTATAATGGGGGACCAAATAAAAAAAGCATAGCTACAGGTTTTGTGGACTACAGTATTAAGCGTACCCTTTTCATCACTTTGTAATAAATCTAGCCATGCCTAAGTGTGTTTATGATATTTACCATAACATTATATATATATTTAAAGGGTATAAATGGTCGTAAAATGGGAAACTTGGGGTTGGGTCTTGGGTGCCTGGAACCAATTAGAATAAATCCCATAGGTTCTGTACTTTCGTTATCGGCGGGGAACCAATTGGGCGCGATAACCAAGGGATGACTGTACTGTACTGCATATACTTGTGACACTGGCCAGTTGCTTCTCGTGTTATGGTGCAGGGGTACCAAGTGACAGCACTAGGATCCCGCTTCCTCTATCAAGGAATAAACAATTAAAATTTAAATGGATAAAAAAAAACATTCAAATAATGGGACCTAGCGAACCTAAATGGACCTAGAGCGGGCACAGTCACGTATGCATCGCGTATTCTTATAGATTGTGCGGCCAGGCGTACGTTATCTAGTGAATTTAGTCAATATTGTACAGTAACAATGGACCTAAGTGCAAACCTGTATTGTACATGTACTAAATGATTATGGTACTAAAATTGTTATGTCTACTGCAAATATAGCTTGTTTATACAGGTATTCAAATAAATTACTATCTTACAAGAATCCCTCCAATGTAAGTTATATTCACCCAGGTCGTTTGGGTGGCAAATTATGAGAAGAGCTTAGTCACTCTTAAGTAATGATAAATAAACACGCAGGCCTTCAGCGCCAACTGTCAAATCTTATCTCAAATAAATAAACAAACAAACGGCAGACATTCTGTCACCTCACCTCCCCCCCCACCGTCTTCCCACCACCCTCGTGTTCCAAGATTAAAGATTGGTGATTTCTTTGTGTTTATCTTATATAATATCTCAGACTAAAGTTAGGATAATATAATTTGCATTGCTGAAATCCTTGCAAGAGAGAGATTAATTTGAATATAAGCGTCATATATTTTGCTCAAGATATAAAAAAATTTTTACATTAGTGTACAATACTGTAGTACATTTTATAAAAAGTTTTTCAACTGTATTTTTTGGGTAGATTTACATAAATTTCTTCATTTATTTTCATCCATTTACATGCACACACCAAACTAAAAGAAACGTAAAAGAAATAAATGACCTTAGTGCAAAGCTGGAGTGTACATGTACTAATTTGATTACGGTACTAAAATTGTTATGTCTAGTGCGAATTACAATATGTTTATATTCAAATAAATCAGTATCTTACAAGAATCCCAGCTATGTTAATTATATTCTCCTAGGTCATAACACTGGCATTTTAAGATGAGAGAAGCTTAGTAGGACTGTTAAATAAACACAGAGACCTTCGGCTCAAACTTATCACCTCAACCCCCCCACCTCTCGCTGGCTCCGTCCCTCCCTCCCTCCCTAATCTGCTCAGCCAGGGGTTTATTTAGGCTTACAGTTTTTATCTTATATAATATCTCAGACTAAAGTTAGGAGATTATAATTTGCATTGCTGGAATCCTTGCAAGACAGCCAATAATTTGAATATAAACGTCATATATTTTGCTCAAGAGATAAAAATTGTTGTACATTAGTGTACAGTACTGTACTGTAGTACATTTATAATATAAATTTGTTCAACTGCATTTTTGGGTAGATTTACATAAATTTCTTCATTTATTTCATCCATTTACATGCACACACCATACTAAAAGAAATGTAAAAGAAATAAATGACCTTAGTGCAAAGCTGGAGTGTACATGTACTAATTTGATTACGGTACTAAAATTTTTGTGTCTAGTGCAAATTATAGCATGTTTATATTCAAATTAATCAGTATCTTACAAGAATCCCAACAATGTTAATTATATTCACCCAGGTCATGTCACTGGCTTTTTATAAGAGAGAAGCTTAGTCACTTAAGAACTGATAAATATACAGGTACACGGCGTGTACTACACGCGTTAGACCTTGGGCCGGTGCCAACTGTCAAACGTACTACCTCCCCTCCCCCCAAGCCCCCTCGCTCCCTCTCTCTCCCCCATCTACCCAGCGTTGCTGGAATCCTTGTAAAACAGTGAATAATTTTAATATAACGTCATGTATTTTGCACAAGAGATAAAAATTAATCACCTGTATCACATTACAGTAGTGATTTAAGAGTAAAAGTGTATATGTACGTATATAGTATTCCACATACACGTAAGTATAAATAAAAAGTTTGTGATGATCGGACAACGTCCATTTCGGTTAACGTCACATTTCCAAGAACGTATCTAGGACGTTAACCGGCGCATGACTGTACAGTGGGGTATGCTATAATGAATGGATTCTACTACGAATATTCCTATGACAAACGGTTTTACCTATAAATTGAGAATGCTTTAACGAACGAAACTCCTACAACGAACATTATTATTTTTTTTTTTTACTAATTTATTGTTTTTTTATTACAAGTATTAATGATATTCTTTATTTCAGGGGTTTAGATGCATATTTATGCACTTTTTTGCAATTTTATATTATATTTTTCAGTGTTAAGTGGTTGTATTTGGGGGCCTGGAACGGATTAATCCAATAACGATCAAATGCTATAACGAACAAGGATCTAGAACCAATTAGATTCGTTATAGCATACCCCACTGTATTAGGTTAGCTATGTAACTTTTATGTCTGATAAATCATAATAATGTAGCAATACAGTACTGTAACTGGTAAAGTCATAGAGTGCAGCCATGTACAGTCAGCAAAAACAACTTCTGCACCTCTTGGTCTGATGGCCTCTTCAACGATCACTGACTGAGGCCATGTTAATTTGGTAAGGTTGGTATTTCTGGTTGTGTGATGCATTGTATTACCAGTATGATGTATTTTTTATATCACATATAGTTAATACAGAGAAATTAACAGGAATCACCCACGTAAATGAGTGTTGTTCAGAATTCTTGGTCCAGTGTGTCATATTGTATAACACCATAAAGGTGCAGAAATTTTTTTGTCGACTGTACAGGTTTGTGTTCAGGACAGAAATTAAAAAAATAATAATAATATTAAGAAAACTTATTCTTTCCAGTAATAGGGACCTTTCATGGGGTAAGACAATATTATCCTCTATAAAAAAAAGTCCTCAAGTTACTGGATAATATGCACAACCATCCAGTATTACCAGCAATTCCAGCTCAGTTGGCTGAGAGATATGACAAGTCAGCTAGTGACAGAAAATTCACAGCAAGCCAAGTCTGGCTTCACAGCTTCATAAAACATGCCAAGCTACACTGTGTGACTCTCACTGGGGAGGCTGCATCAGCTTGACACTGCTGCAGCAGAAACCCAAATTAATAAGTTTTGGTTTATTCAGGTGTCAAGGAGATGCATAAATGATCTTTATTTTATTTATCTGTGTGTGTGTGTGTGTGTGTGCGCGTGTGTGCGTGTGTGTGTGCGTGCGCGTGTGTGTGTGTGTGTGTTGATGTAGGCTGACTACAGAGTCAGGAACTTAGTCAGTTATATGTTGAATCTGTGGGATGCTGAGTTGGTTGGAGGCAGTGATGTATTGTTTTGTGTGGTTATACAGTTCTCTTTATTTTTCTGTGGTGTACCAGAACACTGTATATTTCTTGCTTGTTTTTAGTGAGTAAATAAATCTTTTAAGCAACTTGGTGAAGTTTTGGGGCCTCCAGTCCCTGACCCTTTATTGTGTTTGAGTCATACACTGCAACGTACTGTATATATTTTTATATTGTGATTACATCACAAACGTTTGTGATCTAGCCCATGAAATAACCCAAGGCTACTGTACCTGTTACTAGTTGTGGCCAGGTAGAGTCTCACTGTAAATTGGATGATATTCTTGGAGGCTATTTTGGGGCTTTAGTAAAGCTAACCACTCAAGTACACTCATACATCTTCAGTCACAATGAATAATTATTATATAAACATTTGAGAACCTCGGCCCAGGTCTATTTATATGCTCACAGACACATGATAAAAAATCAAGGAATGATTTTGAAAATACAATTTATTGAGGAGTCAAAACAAAAAGGTTCATGTGTTTCCCCATCAAAGTGCACTGGCAACAACCCAGGCTAACCTTGGCTGCTGGTGCTAATCATACAATTAGTACAATTCTCCTAACACAAGTTGAACTCTTACAGAGGGGTTTGAGAGGTGAAAGGTACCACTCAAGGTTGAAAGATAAACAGATCTTGGTGTTATAACTATTTGCACACACAGACCTTCCCTTGTCAGTCTTTGGCTACATTGTATTTCCAGTAACAGGCAGAGATGCAACTAAACTCCATCATAAAACTGTTTCTTTCATGCCAACTGTCAATACTGAACTAGTGATTAGCCTGGAACACAACCCACATATTTGTCGGGTAAATACCGTATAATATTGTGCAGTACTCTTTTTGCACTGACGGAAGCTTATATATATTTGTACTGTATTAGGCCAGTTTTGTGGACATAAAAACTAACATAATGAATATTTACATACACCTAATACTTTACTGGAAACCCCTATTGAAGAATAAGCCAAGTAACTGAATAAGTTACATCTCTCAAACAAAATTCAACACTAATATGGGGGAAACCAATAATATGTAAATGTGTCTAATTAACTGAACCTGAAAGATATCACAAACACAAAATTGTGAGAATGTCCTGATCAACATGATTAATATGTTAAAGAAATGATTCAATTACTTACCAGTTACAATTTGTTCCTCGGGACTTTTTAGTTCATTTTTCTTGAAAACAAAATCTCCCAAAGCTCTTGAGAGTGCCAAGTTACCATTAACTCTGTTGAGCTCCACCCACCCCCCTGCTGCTGTGATTCTTCGTTGTTCTGATGCTAGGCTGGGTTTGTGATCATTGCTTAACTCTGCAACGTGCCCTGCTACACTTCCTATTGCTCGAGAATCTCCAACATTACCCTGAAATAAACAAATCAAAGTGTCACTGCTACAATAAGGTGTAAACTACTGTATACCTGAACATATACCTCTAAATGAAATATTGATCCTGAAATCCCACTTTATGACAGCCTGGACCAGGTGACTCATAACACACCCAGATAAGCCTGTACAGGTACAGTGTAAGCCCAGACTACAGTACAGTGTGTAGTGTTAAACATCAAGATTCACTTTCAACAAAGTTTTGTGATATTATTTTAACAAACCAAACCCAAAGTAGAATGAAAAGAAACAGAAAAGATGTGAAACATTATAAAATGTTGAGGTTTACTTTGAATGAAGTAAAAAAAATACAGTAAAACCTGGCTAAGCCAGACCCCGCTTAAGCTGGACAAAATTATTTGCCAAAAAATAATAAAACAAAGTAGGACACAATTTGTCGTAAGATGACATGTCCGTCTTAAGCCAAAATTTAAAGGGAGCAAGACGGACAGACCTCGTGATCCACCCACGCTGGTAAACAAAGGGACAAGTGTCACGCGCTCAGTCATAAATCAGCGTTGCCCGTGATAGCATCACTTCTACTCTCTCGCTCCGTCGATTGTGTTTTATTGCCATTTAGACGCGCTGAACTTTATTTTGAAACTTATTTGACATTGCCAGAAATGTGATTATGTTGTAGGCTGATGTAGCATACATATTTTTGCATTATTATTGCAAAATTAGACAATAACCATTGTTTGGTGTCCGTAAGGATGGTGAGAAGGTTAAGCCTAAAACCTTATCAGGGAGCAAAAGGTTAAAGGTGATTGAAAAACTAGAAAAAGGTGCTGCTCCCTCATAAATATGCGATGAATACGGAATTTCAAAGCAGTCAGCGTCGGATAGAGAAAATCGAAAGATAAGTTGAACAAATATGCCTTGAAATTTAATGTGGACCAGGGTTTGTTGCCTCGCCTCGCCTGTCACACTGTTTATTCTACACCTCATTTGTATGAACGTTCTGTCTAGTGTGCCTAACATTCCACTTACACAAATTACTGTTGGCTTGTGTATTCTTGCAGTGAACATAATGCTGCATGAGGACTTGAAAGAGGCAGTGTATAAATGGTACATACAGCAATATGCAAGTGGAATAGCAGCCATAGGTGTGGAAATCCAGGCAGCTGCTGAAAGGTTAGCAAAATAAATGACTGTAAAGGATTTTCATGCTAGTGCTGGTTTTTTTTTTTTTTTAGATTTCGAAGACACCAAATATTCCTTTCATAAAAATTGGATACATTGGTGTTGTACTCATTTCTTTGTTTAAAATTGTTTTTTGTTTTTTTCTCTCTAAGGCGGACAACCTCATATCCCAGACACCCCTTCCCCCCAATTAGTCCGTCTTAGCCAGATTTTACTGTACGTATATCAGAAAGGATGTTATCCACCAAGCATAAGGCTCTAGTGATATCCGCAGCTCATTCTCCTCTTCAAAAAGTCTAAACACATCCATTTTCAGTTTAGAGGTTGTGTAAACATCACTCAAGTGCTAGAAGTTTACCAGAGTGAGTGGCCCGTGCAGTTAGCCAAGTGACACACCTCTATAATGTAGTGTTAAAAAGAGAGTTATTACTGTACCATGGGTAAACTCAAATCAGTGGAAAGCATTAAGAGTGGTGGTAGTTAGCATACATCACCCCACTGGTTGATCAGAGAAGATGAGAGCTTTACCATACATGTCGTGTGGTCTGGTGCACTATTTGAACTGTTTTACTGATTTAAACATCTCTTTTTTGCTTTGTAGTACAATTTTCCTTCAGAGTAATGATCATTGTGCTTCAATATTTATTCCATGCACAGAAACATACCATTACTCGAGTGTATTACAGCAGCAACAGCAGAGAGATTTATAGGACACAACAAGTGGAGAAGAGTAGCCAATCACAGTGAGCCTTTTGATCCCTGACAAGATAACCAGCACCAAGCCACAAACTTCTTGGAAATGATCTAACCACAAGAAAATTCACAGGATCAGTAATAACAGATGGGATCTTTTTGCCAGTAGAGTAACCAGAAATAAAGGAACATCTCAAGTCCAGTTACTAAAGAGTTTGGGTGAAGTGAATCCTTACAGTAAAGTATATCAAGGTGGCAAGAAAGTATTAGTAGATGTCAGAAGCGCTGCAGCATTTGGAGATTCTGGTGAATCAAATTACCTGTACTGTATTGGGAAAGGACATGTTGACAAAAGAAATTTCATGTTTTCACTGTTTTAACTCCTTTCCCACTAAGGTGTTAGGTGGCTATAATCAAGTGACTCTCCCTCATTCACTATCATCTATTCTCTCTGTCCTCATTAGCAAACATGTTCTGCTATGGCAATCCCTCCCCAAGGCCCCAAGATATAATTAACACAGTAGACTGACCAAATATATAAGTAAGACAAACAAAAACACTCACACAATGAACAGAGCCATTGCGAAGAAGGCAGCAGATAGCTGTGGTACCTGCCAATTCATCCTTCAGCACCTCATCTGTCTGCATGAAGTTGTCCAAGTCTAGGAAACCCTGTAAGAATATATGTACAGTATTAATTAAAGAGGCCAAGATTCACAAGGTAATCAAACACAGCTGCTCCATTCACCCACAAATATTCTGTTGGTCACTTCTCACCTCAGTAAAATAAATAACAGACAGAAAATACATATGCAGGTGTGGGACCATTTATCCGGCATGCTTGAGACCTGAGAGTTACTGGATCAATTTTTGTTTCTAGAATTTGGAGCACCAGGCCTAAAATGTACTAATTGTACAGTAAAAACTCTATAACTGGTTGTGAAACCTCTGTTGAGATCACTAGATTCACCCGTAAAAGTAGCTTTAACTGTACACTGTAACATTAAAACTTAAAATTGTTGGCATATATAATCAGCAATTATGAAAGCATAAAAAGAGAAAAATTATTAAGTACTATTAGTGTGCAAACTGCTTCACAGTCTCCACTGATGCTTGCCTTAGCAATGCAGCAGTGTCGCTAGCAATGGTGCTTCATGCCACAGACACTCCACACAGCGTAATAGTGGAAACCCATCAGCAAGTTCATAAACCTACAGTACAGTACTACACCCATTTTTACTAGTCTTATGATATAAAATAATTGTGTATGGTATTCTCCTTCTGACAGCCAACATTTTTTTTTTTATGGGGATTAGCCCACCACGAAAATGCCAGAAAACCAGCTTTTTAAAGTGAGACAGATTGTCTGAGTATGGAAACACAGAAGGCAGAGCATTCTACAGTTTGGCTGTGTGAGGAAAGAAGGATGCACTATAACGCGTTATTCTAGTGTGACCGACTTCCACAGAGAAATGGTGGGCACCGCGGACAAGAAGTGTGTTACGAGCCCACGGCCTTGCCGGCGGTACACAGGATGCCAAATCCACAGAACATTGCCCGTTAAAGTACAGTACCTGTAAGAGTGAAGCAACATTGCGGCGAAGAGAAAGGGAAGAAAGATTGCCAACTAAAGGAGGAGAGTTAATAAGATGAAATGCCTTTGATTCCACCCTATCTAACAGTTGAAGAGCCACCCCAGATATGAGAGCAGTACTCCAAGTTAGGATGAATGAATCCCTTATAAACCTGAAGCAACTGCTCAGGAGTGAAGTAACTACGGCATCTGTACAGCATTCCCAACTTTCGGGAGGCAGCTTTAGCTATATTAAGGATGTGTGATTTCCAGGACATATTGGAGGAAATGGTGAGGCCTAGCATATTTATTTCAGAATTTGGTAGAATGATAGCATCCTGAAATGTAATTGGTGGGAGATCATCTAATTTAGAAAGTGTAATTGGTAAATACTGAGTTTTATTACTGTTGAATCAAACCAAGTTTGTACCTCCCCATTCAGAGAAGCTGCACAGATCCGCATTGATAAAAGTAATGATATCAGCTCCAGAAACAGATCAAGTTTGATAGTTAGGAGGAAGGGGATATGTGAAGAAGAGTGAAGAGTAGAATCATCAGCGTAAGAATGGATAGAATTAGTTGTACTGTGAAGTAAATCATTGATAAAAAGAAGGAAGAGAGTAAGTGAAAGAACAGAACCCTGTGGGACACCACTATTGGGAGAGAATGAGTGACAGATCGATCCCTTGACAACAACTACCATGGATCGGTTCTCATGGAAGCTAGAGATTAGAAAACAAAGTGGGGGAGAGAAACAATAAGAGGGAAGTTTAGAAAGCAAAGACTTGTGCCACACCCTGTCAAATGCTTTAGAGATGTCGAGTTATTGATTATTATGCCATTTAATGTCTAATTTCACATCTAAAATTACAATCAAACACCATTTCTTAATAAAAGCTGTGCATGGTGAAGAACTAGCATTTTTTTAACTCATTATGCATGACTTGGGGAAGTTTCTAAAGAAATTAATTTCACACATAGGGTATGTAAACATGTCTCAAAATATGATGATTTTTTTTTTTTAGAGAACCGTCAATATTTCAGTAGACACAGCCATCAAATATGAAGACAACTGTAGACTGTTTGTTAATTATATTGTCACACTACATCCTCCACTTATCCTCACCATCATTATTCTCAAAATTTATGGAAATTCATTTACTGTACATGGAAAATTTTTATTTATATGTTGAATTTTATTATTTTTATTTATCTAACTGATTCTTTAGTATTATTATAATGATTATGTTGTATTAAAATGCCGAGGAAAAGAAAACACAAAGTTCCCACGAGCTGAAAACTCTTTTTACTCAGTAGTTATCAGCACATACAGTACATGGGTCATGGAGGGACAGAGCTTTATAGTCTATGTTGCTAAAAGAAACAGTCTCTATTAAGGTCTCTTATTGCCTGGGAGGTGTTCTTCTCTCATAATTACTGTAAACACCAAGATGAACATGTCATCTTATACTATAGCTTGTACCCTGTAATAAAAAATGTTTTGCAAAGTTGCAAATTTGGATAAACGTTTAGGGCTACATTTTTTGCTAAGATACTGGTTATAAAGTAATTTAATTTCTATATAAATAACATAACACACTAATCACTACTAAGCCCTGCTAATAGAGCATGCTTCCCCCTCCCCCAAATGACAGTAATACAAAGAAACTAATAGTTTTGTAAACAAAACAGATTAACATGTCCACCAACCTGTTTCATGGCCGCTTCAATGTCACCTTGTTTGTACTCTGGTCGTTTTAAGATACTCTTGTGTAGGTGCTTGCCAGCATGCTGTGCAATTCTTGCTCCTGTAACATAAACACATTTTAATACGTTTAATCTTCTTCCAAACATCAGTTACCTCACGTGCCCATACAAACATTTAACTAGTTACCCACATACATTTACAACAGGGTTAAGCTCCCACAAAACTATTCATAAATCGATAAATTGTCAATTAATGTGTATTTTCCCACAGATCCCCATTATATAACAAGAGTCAGGTTCATACAAAAAATAAATTCTTCCATAAAACAAAATAAAATGTCAGAGGAAAAGTTTTGGGAGGAGAGTAACAGTTACAGCCATTGCTGCATCTGGTGTACAGTACAGTACAGTACAGTACAGTGCAGTACAGTACAGTACAGTACAGTACAGTACAAAACCTAAACATTTCCAACAAGTGGCAATTCTCCAGTAAACTATGGAAATGTTAAATGGTTGTAAGGGCGGAAACGATCTTCCTGCTTGTTACCGCTGCTAACTCTCACGTTTGCTGGTGCGACCAACAATTGGGGGGGTTGGACGGAGGTGAGAACGGCAGCGGCTACCTGTGTCACCGGGAGATTCACCCCAGCCGCCATACACTCACTATCTAGCTACCCCGCTGTTCGTCAAATTCTGGCTGTGATCTCATCATAGGTCCTGGACTCGTGGGCTGTTTTCCCAGACCTTCACCTATCGACTGTTAATCTCTGGGCACCTACCCCAAACCACTACCGCTGCTGCCACGACCGCCAGCTCCTCTCCACCGTCTGTGCCCCGGTGTTTCGTCTGCTGTATCAAGACATCGGCCGCTGTCGCTCAAGTGAGGAGTTGAAAGGACACTTCCCCCTGAGAGTGGATCACTGTGTTCTGGAACCTTTCCCCAGGGCCACTGTCGTAGGAAATATCTGTTCATTGTTTGATTCCTTTAATTGCTGACTCCCATTTATTGTTTGATTCTATCAGTTGTTGACTCCCATTAATTGTTTGATTCCATTAATTGTTTGATTCTATTAACTGCTGACTCCCATTAATTGTTTGCTTCCCTTTAATTGTTTGCTTCCTTTAATTGTTTGCTTCCCTTAATTGTTTGACTCCATTAACTGTTTACTGCATTAATTGTTTGACTCCCATAATTGTTATTTGATGTTTGGTGCCAGAGTTTTGTTATGTTTTTCATAGTAAAGAGATGTCAATCTCAAACGGTTGTTTGTTATTCCTCAGTAAACCCTGGTCCTTGACTTTCCTTTAAGATCCTGATTAGTCTGGTAAGGGATTTCTATCCTTAAGTCCCAGGCCTTTACAATGGTCTTTCTTTACAATTTTTTTTATCAAGACAAAACATTAATGTTTCCATATCAGCATTACTGTACAGTGATATTTCTTAAAAACAACATCTGACAGCAGGGAAAATTATGAAAAAAAAATTTAAATAAAATATTTATAGATTCTTCATTATACTATAGCTAATAATAAGCCAACATTACAGTACATCAAAAAACATTTGGTTATATCCTTTTATTTCAGGTATAGACCAAAGAAAACAATACAGCCATTCACTTTATATTTGTACTACTGTATGATGTATGTAAGATAAATTTTGAGAGGCCATACAGTACTGTACAGGAAGAAATAAATTAAATGGTTAAGTTTAAATGCACACTACACAGCCAGTCTCTGCCAACTTGTACACAAACTTCAGAAACACAGTAATATACTGTATATAACATCATAATACATTAAGTACAGTAAGTACTGGTATGCTACACATCCCTCACGCTGGGTTTAAGTATTTAACATAACCCCAAATGTTTTGAAATGATGGAATTACTGTTGAAGTAAGAAGTGGCATCTTAAAGGAATCTGTTGGTGTATTTTTGGGGCTGTGGTCCCATAACTACATTTTCCTATTGAAATACATAGAACAATACATTTGATATTTTACAGAAATTCTCAGTCCTAATCTTGCACTCTATCGGAGGTCTATCGTATAGTACAGTACGTATTCAGAAAGGGGCAAGCATATCGATGAACATATCAAGACCAACAATACCAACTTATCATTACCCAACTTGCATACAATACACTACAGTACTGTACTGTTGAGGATATCCGTTGATAATACACAAGTGAAGGCATCAGTCAACTTGACACAACACAAATGGTACAGACAACACTTACCTCCGTGACCATCATAAACAGCAAAGAATGCTGTTCCTGGGTCATCTGGCAGGGAGAGTATAGTTGTGTGAGCATCCTCCATGTTCACCCGCCATCCCTGCATACACGATGCACCAACACGTAACCATGAATTCTCACAGCGAGAAGTTTCTTTCTGTGTCACTGGTTCACTCAGAGTCTGCCCCATACTGCTAAAAAAATAATTATTATTCACATACACTGTTAGGAGGTTAGTGTACAGTCAGAAAATAAGTGTCGACCGCCCCAATGTCGGTGGAATAGAAAATGTGCGATAACGACCAACTGACGTCGGTAACCACATGTACTGTATACGTTCACAGTTTTCACACCAGGTTTCATATTGCTACCCACGTCAGAGTGGTCAATACTTTTTTATTAACTGTACAGGTAATTAGAAGTCAATTATTGAGAATGAGGCAATTAATGCAGTGTTGTGTGAAATACTTAACTATGTAAAAAGACCAATAAGGACTTATATATGCCCTTTGGTTAGGTTAGGTTAGGTTAAGTTAGGTTAGGTTAGGTTACGTAGGTTGGTTACTTTGGTATGAGAATAGTATCTGTATGTGTGTTTTGGTGTTTTACTTAAATCTTATCTCCATTCTTGTGGAAATTAGCAGTTTGTTAAAAATTAAAATGTTCACTTTTGAAGAAAAAAAAACACTAATTTACACAAGAAATGAAGGTCGGATTTAAATAAAACACCAAATAAACCAATTCTCGCGCCATAACCTGAGGACAGCCAATGGACGAATATCTACCGAGAGATGTCTTAAAAGTCTTTAAACTATCTACAGTAAAAATAAAATCCCTAAGGGTAATACAGCACCAAGTGGCAGTTAGTATCAATGTTCTCACCCCCAAAAAATATTAATAATTCCCATATACCAAAACATATTTACTCTCATTCATTTTAATTAATATCATATAAAAAACATTTATTCTAAGGTAATAAATCGAACAATAGATAATTAAATAATACAATTAATCATATATATTACCTTAGGGTGAGGAACAAGGTACAGTAACTAGGTGATTAAGACTCATACCCTAATTATCTCTCACCTGGGACTACCTACACCTGTGCTAAATACTTAAACTAATGTATCTTAACCGAAATAAGTGAGTATGAGAGTGACTTACGTGTTAATAAAGGTTAATAAGAGGGACAGAGGCGGGGCCACTTGTCCTCCTCCCTGACAACATGTAAACACTAACACCATTCATACTTCACTAAAATATACCTATTCTCTATTAATTCCTCTATATATCATACTTAAACCCTCTTTATTATACATTATAAATATAGATAAACAATTATTTCTTATTAATTATTATTATTAAATGACTTAGAGGTTAAGTAAACCCCCCCCCCATAGCATTCATTAGTGACACCAAGACCATCAGTGAGGTCAGTCCCTTTAACTCTCTTTAATAATCTACTATAATTCACCTACAGTAGTCTATAAATAACCATAAAGGAGGAAAATATTGTATATATATTGTATAGATAATATTAATTACCTTTATCATAGTGATTGAGTAACTAATATAACTGATTACTTTACCCTAGTGGCTATTTGACCGTGAATGTGTCCTGGGGTGTTATTTATGGTTATTATTTGTTATATCTCGTTAATAGTAGTAGTAGTAGTATTTGACTATCTGGAAAGAGGCTGTTATGTCTGTGTAGCCAACTATAAACTTTTAGGTGAATTGATGATAGCTGGGGAGATAATTTTATTAAGCTGAATTTTAGCTTTGTAATCATCTAGCAAATACTGATTTCTCTAAGCTTTGTCTAAATGTCTTTCAAAGGTTAAGACTGACTTAGATCCAATTACATACAGGAGTAACACATTCCAATGGTATAATTTTACTCTCACACAACCATGGAATTTTAAGAATTTTATCTTTTCATTCAATAATTTATATACAATTCTAAGATACTTTTCTTCTATGACATTTTCCTCACATGACCTAAAAATTATGTAACCTAACCTAACCTAACCTAACTTCATCTGGTATATATTTTGCTCTCAGACACAGCACACCAAGAGGTTATAAACTACTCAAACATTTAGTTCTCTCTATTCTGAACATTTTGAACCCCATATATACCAGGTGGAAATGGATAATAACGACACAATTTAATTTAATTGATTTTACGTAGTTTTCAGTCTTTGTCTCTGTGAGGAGATGTTATCTGAGCGTCACGCATGCACAATATTGACCGAGTCATCCAGTCGTGACCAATGATGTATCAATATCACGCAAATTTTTTCGACCAATCGCAATTGATTTTTATTTTATTTTTTCCAAAGGAAGCAGCCTGGGTACGGATTTTTATTTCATTGACCAGTCTCACAATGGCCGTGGTGGAGGTTGGTTGTCATTCATCCTCGTACAATTATTTTAAGTTTATTGCCGAGTTTTACGAGAAAGACAATCATTCTATTCAATTCTAACTAAAGTATTGTACTTTTGGACATGGTGTGCCCCAAAGTCTTAAACTACTGAAACATGTAGGTTCAGTTAGGTTAAGCTAGGCCTACCAGGGGTCCGGGGGCAGAGCCCCAGGCTAGGGGTTAGGTTAGGTTTTGTTAGATTAGATGACTCGTTTTCTCCCCCCACCCAAAAACCCTGATTTCCCAGGCCCTCCCCCCATTATAAGGAGGGGGGGGCAAAAACGAGCAATTTCCGCCAAAAATGAAAGTCATATTCATTTAAAACACACCAAAATACACTGGTAAAACATGTTGGTCAACCCATAGGGACTCATGTCCTAAAGTAAAAATTTTTCTGTCTAAACTATTGATTGCAAATACGAAATTCCTAAGATTCCATGTTGAGTGACAGTAAAACAATACCCAATTATTTATTACTCTATTACAAACTGTGTTCTTTCTCTTGTTTAGTCGTGATCTTCCCTTAAATATTTTCTTACGATGACCTCTAGTTGTCTGGTCCTCTCACAATATCCAGACACACTTCCAGGTTGTATACCACTCAGAGTCTTGTGTGTGTCTATCATGTCTCCTCCTGTTCTTCAGTAGGCTAGTGTGGGTCATGTCTCCTCCTGTTCTTCAGTAGGCTAGTGTGGGTCATGTCTCCTCCTGTTCTTCAGTAGGCTAGTGTGGGTCATGTCTCCTCCTGTTCTTCAGTAGGCTAGTGTGGGTCATGTCTCCTCCTGTTCTTCAGTAGGCTAGTGTGGGTCATGTCTCCTCCTGTTCTTCAGTAGGCTAGTGTGGGTAATCTCAGCTTCATAGGTCAGGCTCTTCAACATTGGCACCAGTTCACTTACTCTTTGCTGCACGTTTTATATTGCTTCTATGTCCTTAATTAAATATGGACACCAGACTTGATTAGCATATAAAAGACATTCAGTAATAAACACCACAGTCAGCCCAAGTCAGTGTTAGTGATAGTGAGGATATGGACTTTGAGGGGTTTGACAAAGAGGCCCTGCAAGCCTCTGTGGTGGATAGTGATACAATTGATACAAGTGATACAGGTGAGGGCCACTAATCTGCCCTCTGCCTCAGAACCAACCCCCCATCCCCGTGTACCCAGCCATCTCTTCTACTAACGTAAGTGTTAAAAAACCCAATATTATTGATATTTCTCTTAAATATTAATTGTGTGTGCATACCATCATAAAATTAAGATGTTATTTTTACTACAACGTACGTACGTATTGTGTCTGGTGAAGTATAATTTGTTTATTTACTTGAGATATTTGTTTTTAGCTCATAAAATTCATATAAATTACCCGACCAGAATATAATTTACATTGCTGGAATTCTTATAAGATAGTGATTAATTTGAATATGAACAAGCTAAAATTTGCATTAGACATACAAATTTTAGATCTAATTTAAGAATTTTATTAGAGAGAGCAAAAATTTTATCTTTTGTGCAAAATATATGACATTTATATTCAAATTATTCGCTGTCTTGCAAGGAATCCAGCAATGTAAATTATATTCTCCTAAATATAGTCTGAGGTATTATTTATTACTAACCTAAAAGCCTAGTCCTTTTCCCCAAACATTTCTCAGGGAGGGAGGGAGCCAGCGTGCGTGGGAAGGGGGGAAATTGAGTTCATTATTTGAACGGACATTAACCGGCAACTGTATTTCTCTTAAATATTAATTGTGTGTGCATACCATCATAAAATTAAGATGTTATTTTTACTACAACATAGGTATTGTGTCGGAAAAAGTGTAGTTTGGGGGTCGGCCCAGTCTCTATTTCAATTAATCCCATATGTTCTGTTATTTCGTTTATGCGTTTCTCAGTTTACGCGGACCTCCACGGGATCAATTGACCTCGTAAATCGAGACTATACTGTATTATTTTCGCATTTTCGACTTACGACCAATTTGACTTATGACCTGGTCGGCGGTCCCTAACCTCATCGTAAGTCGAGGGCTGACTGTATGTGTTAATGGACATACAAGTTGATCAGCTGCCTCTTTCAAAATTCTTGCATGTATACCACCTGGCCTCATTGTTTTGAGTTTAACCCAATAAGTGCCAAAATTCACTAAAAAAGAAATTGCTTACATAAACTTTTTAACTACTTTTTTTTAATGAGAAAAGTGTAAGGAATCCATATTTAACAATTAAAAAATGATAAAGTAATAATATCTAGGGTCAATTTACAATTTGGTGGGGGAAAACACTTTTTTTTTCTGTGTTCATAATAATGGGCAATATTATAAGTAGATATGTCAGATAGTGTAAACTGCAACGATAAATAGTTTATCTTTCATTGAAGTCACATAATTTTGTATTACTGACCATTATTCATATATACTGTATATTGAAACCTATATCTTAGGGGTAAATGCAAAAATCACTTGTGCACCGACGAGAATGTTAGTGGGTAAATGAAATAAAAGATCGGAATAGTCTAGTTACAGGGTTAATCTATTGGACTAGAACACAATATAAATTAAAGTTATAAAAGATGAAGTTGAATGTAAGGCAACTCCTTTGGGAATATATACAGGTAAAGAATACATTCATATATATCCATAAAAACTTAATTTACCTTTCACATTCTACATGCCTTACTCACTCACGTATTCCAGACATTTCTGAAAGGCAAAGAAAAACATGAAGTATCGGAAAACTCGTCTCAATACTGTATGCCATGTTTGGCTCTCTGGTTATCTGTGTTGCTCTATTTCCTCTTATATCATGTTTCCTTTCTCCTCTATTCATTATGCACTGCCGCTTTCTAATTCCTGTACGTATTTCATATAGCACACTCTTAAACTGTTAAAATATCACTAGTATATACCATTATTCTCTAAAAAACCATGAATAAACATTGTCACATAATTTTCCATCATGGCATATGCAAGAAATAATTTCACTTCCCAACTTACCTCATTCAATTCCCTTCTAATTTAATGATTTTCACACTCCAAGTGCTAGTATTAAATCTATTGAATAAATATTAACATTTTATATATAATATAAACAGTTATTAGCCATAAAAGTAGGGAAACTGGGCGAAAAACACGAGCAGCAATGTTGACGCCTCGTGTTTTGATGGCAGGAGCTTCAGCTTGCCCCAGTCGCTGCTAGGTGGCAGCATCTACTGGGCCGGCACGTAATTCAAACCCGAGGGACTGTAGTCGAGTTACGCGTTAAAGGAAAGTTTTTTTATGAATGTGGACTAAAGTCGATTTACACGGTGAAGGACAAGAATCAAAATGTGAATAAAGTTGAGCCACGCAGTGAAAGGTTTAAACTCCCTAGCATCCTTGTCACTTGCTCTTCTGTCACTTCAATATTATATATACACTACACCCAGATAATTTGCTGATTTTTATTTCGCAGTCCTCTATTATTCGCGGATGACACTCTGGATGTACCCTTGAATGTCTGTGGGTAGTTTAAAAGTTGCCGGCATTTTTGTGGCTGGGACAGAGAGCCATTCGTTCTAGAGACAGTAATTTCCTTTACCTGTAGGTATATTAAATATGTGTGTGTAGACACACACACACACAAAACACATACAAATAAATAATAATGGGAAAATTCTCTCACAAATAATCAAACACAAGACAACAAAATTTATAAACAATGTGAGTCGACCCTCAAGTCAACTCCGTGCTTTGTTATTAAAGTTCACTTTAATAACAAAGCACGGAGTTGACACACATACAGTATACAATACAGGTAAAAGAAATAATTCTCCTAAGGGTAAACACATAAAGGGAATACAGGGCTGCCTCTCTTATCATAAAGGTTACGGGCATGAAACTCGTTGAGAATATAGAAATTGTGAATAGCGGAGCAATTTCTCCCACAAGAAATAATGTAAATAGGGGGGATACAGCCGTCAGATTTTAACACTTGTTTTACTCAATATATATAGAACATAAAATAAATAAAGAAACAAGGGCATAATATCAAATAAACATCAATAACAAATAAACATCAATAACAAACACTCTGAGTTTATTAGGCGTATATGTTTACAAGTAAAGTATACAGGGGTACTTTACATGCTGAGTGTGTGAGTGTTTGAATGTTTATGTGAGTAGATGTGTGACGTAAGTTTTAAATGTAGACATCACAGAACCTCGTCACCTTCGTAGCCGTCAGTGGTGTTGCAGACCCGGCCATCTCCTTGATCTTGTCGACGCTTTAACTATAGAATGCACCGTAGAGGGAGCCAAGCTGTGCACGTGCCCAATCACTGACGTTCCTTTTCCGTGTTCGTGTCTTTTTACGATATCCAATTTCACGTCCAACGTAACTGCCACACGTGATCTCTTAGTAACAGTGCTGGGAGTTTTAGTAGCTGGTCGCTTAGGCATTGCTAGATCACACAAAACACACGCCAGCACGTGTGAGTCTGAGGCGAGTGGGAGCGTATGGAGGAGGAATATGTACACATGCTGTCCTCCGCTAAGATTGAGGCGCGCGGTTAAAAATTTTTGCTGGTAAGAATTTGAGAATAAACGGGGCTACCATTGTGAATAGTGGAAATGGGTAACAATAAATTGATTGCGGATAAACAGGGTTACGAATACCAAGGCTATGAATAACGGGGTTTGCCTGTATTCAGTACTTTTCATTGCACACAAGTAAAAATACACCCCCCCCCAACCCCAGCGAATTTTAAGGGCATGCTGTATACAGGAAAGTGTTATTAACACAATACTGTAGATTCTGTAGTTATGATAAGGGTTGTTGCATCCTACGTACTAAGTCTTACTCGTATACAGTGTCTTGTAATATTAAAAAGCATTTTCCAGTCTCTCAACCATTTGAACAGCTCGTGTAGTTCTTTTTGCCTGATTGTGACATCACTTTGACTTGCCATCTTCCCAAATATCATCATGTCATCCTCAAACTTGACAACATGGTTTGATATATTTTCATTGATATCCAACGATGGATTCTTGTAACACTCCACGGAGAACCTTTATCCATTCTCACTGTCTATCATTTATAACCACTCTCTATTGCTTGTCCCTGAGCCAGATGATTAATCCACTTCTATAATTTGCCTTTAATGCCATGTGCCTGGATCTTATAGGCTAGCCATGCATTTGGGATTTTGTGAAACACCTTAAACAAAATCTATACTGTATACAGTACAGTAGTGAATAACACGTCCATTGGTAGATCTTGGTCTGTGTACAGTACTCTGTTACCTTTTTAAAGATTGATTGCAGTAATTACATCCCTGGCGACACAACTGCTCAGGTTATATGCCGCCAACCGCTTCAAGGAAAGGGAGTAAGTTAGTGAGGCAGGATTTCCTCTCCAGGCTTCAGTGTTGTAATGTGTTGATAAGATTGTGTTCACTGCTCAGTCAGGTGTTGGATGATGGCATCCCTCAGAATTATCACAAAGCATTTGCATATATGGAATGTTAGGCTGATCGGTCTGTAATTCTCTGCTGCACCTTTTCTACTCTGGCTGATTTCCAGTCCCTCTGCATTTTTCCTTGATCCAAAGATCTCTTGAATAAGAGTCATGTACCATCTAGGTCTGTGCCCCATCCACCCCAGGGACTTTCAATTATTTCAAGTTAGCTGTTTTCTTTTTGAAGACGTCATCTGTAATTGCTATACTGTACTGTACTGTATATATCTCTCAATTAATTTAGGTATGCATCCTCCTAGGTACTGTACTGGCATGTTGTCCATCATCTGTGTGAACACTGGTGAAAGTAAACATTTAGGGCATCAGGTGTCTGTTTATTATCCTCCAGGCCACATTGTTTATATCCTTTACAGACCCCCCCCCCAACGGGAGCTGCCTTGATGCGGGGGGTGGGCGGCTTGCGAATCCTAATGATCCGGTGAGCAGTACCAGAGATGGGCTTGGTCCCCGTTGCTTCCTCCTCAGAGGGAGGGGAAGGGTTTCCCAAACTGGGTGGGTCACTGGGGAGGATCCAGACAAAATAGCTCCTATCCTGCTGCTGGTTTTGAGAGCAGACTGGCAGCATTGTCCCCAGCCCAGACCACCAGGGCTGGAATACTCTCTCACGTGTGTGGCGCCCATAATGCTGGGAGATGGGAGTCCTGGAGGTTGAGCGACGCTGCACACTACTCCCTGTCGCTAGCTACACATCTCTTTGGTCCCCTATTCCAGCTAGACGGGTGGCTTGGTCGGGCCTGATCAAATCAATCGGCTGGTCACAGTGTGGCTAGGGTCAAGTGGGCATCAGGGGACCTGACACTCCTATGGTCCAGGAGCTACCATCTTAGCCACCTGGTGGTTACTCTCACTACCCCTTGTTGGGCTCCATTACCAAGTCATTAAATTACATTGTTTCTGTATGTTGCTTTCCTTGTTTTGGACATTTACAGAAGATGTGTAAAGGCAGATAATATGGTTGGAGCTACAGTACTGTACAGTACTGTCCGAATACAATTATTTTTTTATTTTTTTTTTTTATGGGAGTTAGCCCACCCGGGCACAGGTCAAACGACCCACAACGGGGCCTGGGGGGCAAAAAAATAAGAACAGAAAGAAATTAAAAATAGAGAAGGAAAAGGTTATACTGTGTTAATCTACACCACGAAGATGCTGGAAAACCAGCTTTTTAAAGTGAGACAGATTGTATAAGTATGGAAACACAGAAGAAGGCAGAGCATTCCACAGTTTGGCTGTGTGAGGAAAGAAGGAGGTACTATAACAGGTTATTCTAGTGTGACCGACATCCACAGAGAAATGGTGGGCACCGCGGGCAAGACGTGTGTTACGAGCCCGCGGCCTTGCCGGCGGTACACGGGATGCCAAATCCACCGAACATTGCCCGTTAAAGTACCTGTAAAAGAAAGAGAGTGAAGCAACATTGCAGTGAAGAGAAAGGGAAGAAAGATTGTCGACTAAAGGAGGAGAGTTAATAAGACGAAATGCCTTTGATTCCACCCTTTTGAATTGAATTGAATTGAAACAATTTATTCAGCCAGAAAAACACAGATACAGAGTGGATAATAATAACAATATTAACATGGCTGAGCCAGTTGAGAACCTGAGCTCTCTTTGAGGCACCTGATATATACTATACATTTATCTCAAGGAAGTATTATGTAACATTTAGTATCATCTGGAATATTACAATAGCATGGTGGTAACAAGAACATCTCAAATTGTTATCACGGTTATCACTTCAATATTTATTTATTTTATTTATTTATTTATTTATTATTTTATTTATTTATTTATTTATTATTTTATTTATTTATTTATTTATTATTTTATTTATTTTTTATAAGTGCAGGTATATTCAGTACATAAATTACAGTGGAATTGAAAAACATAAATATAATGGGGGAGCAGTACAACAAGAATTGTACAGTAGTATTAAGGTTGAACAAGAGGACAGAGCTGTCAGGATTATGTCTAGTTGGCAAATATATTTATTGCAATGGTAATTTCTTATCTGTTAATATGATAAATTCCGATAAAACGGTTTTGATGGTACAATAATAGCAGGTGTATAAAGTAGGTATTACAAGAAATATTAATACTTAGACAATAGATATTTTTTCAGAGATGATTTAAAGGAATGGAGTGTAGTCTTTGCTTGGATGGGCGGGGGTAAGTTGTTCCACACCTTCACATATTTTATGGAGGTCTGGGACTGGGAGGAGCACATGGGGGGTGGTCTTAGTAGCTCTGGGTGCCTTAAGTTGTATCTCTGATTATTCCAGAACTGGAAATAATTATTGTCAAGCAAGTGATTGATAGATTTGTAAACAAAGAGGGCACAGCAGTAGGTGTTAATATCTTCGAATTTTAACTTTTTCAATTTAGCAAATTTTTCGTTTGTGTGATCTGTTTTTTTCAAGTAGGTCGTTGTCCGTACAACTCTCTAACAGTTGGACAGAAGAAGAGCCACCCAGATATGAAAGCAATACTCCAAGTTAGGACGAATGAATCCCTTATATACTTGAAGCAACTGCTCAGGAGTGAAGTAGCTACGGCATCTGTACAGCATTCCCAACTATCGGGAGGCAGCTTTAGCTATATTAAGGATGTGTGATTTCCAGGACATATTGGAGGAAATGGTGAGGCCTAACATATTTATTTTATAATTTGGCAGAATTTTAGCGTCCTGAAATGTAATTGGTGGGTGATCATCTAATTTAGAAAGTATAATTGGTAAATATTGAGTCTTATTACTGTTGAATATAACCAAGATTGTACCTTCCCATTCAGAGAAGCTGCACAGATCCTCATTGATAGATGTAATGATATCAGCTCTAGAAACAGATCTAATATAAGAGTTAGGAGGAAGGGGAAAATGTGAAGAAGAGTGAAGAGTAGAATCATCAGCGTAAGAATGGATAGAATTAGTTGTGAAGTAAATCATTGATAAAAAGAAGGAAGAGAGTAGGTGAAAGAACAGAACCCTGTGGGACACCATTATTGGCAGAGAAAGAGCGAGAGATGGATCCCTCGACAACAACTGTCATGGATCGGTTCTCAAGGAAGCTAGAGATTAGAAAAAGTGGGGGAGAGAAACCATACGAGGGAAATTTAGAAAGCAAAGACTTGTGCCATACCCTGTCAAATGCTTTGGAGATGTTGAGGGCCACAACAAAAGTTTCCCCATAATCCCTAAGAGAGGATGACCAAAGATGGGTGCAGTAGGAGAGCAGATCACCAGTAGATCTCGCCTGGCGAAAGCCATACTGGTGATCTGACAAAAGAGAATGGCGTTCAAGGTGACGGAGAAAATGGGAGTTCAAGATAGTTTCGAAAATCTTAGAGATGGATGAAGTTAGGGCAATGGGGCGATAGTTAGAGGGATTAGAATGGTCACCCTTCTTCGGGATGGGCTGAACCAAGGCATGCTTCCAAGAAGAAGGAAAAGTTTGGGTTTTGAGGCAGAGGCAAAAGAGGCGAGCAAGCACAGGGGCCAGAACTTCAGCACACTCCCTCAGAACACGAGGGGGTATTCCGTCCGGTCCATGCGCCTTACTCACATCCAACCTGGATAACACACCGGCAACCCTACGAGTGGAGATTATAGGAAAGTGCATAGGTTCAGTAGGAGGAGCAGGGGTAGGAGGGATAGAGTGGGAATCGTCTAAGGTGGAATTAGTGGAGAATAAGGTGTCAAAGAGATTGACTTTGTCAGAGGGAGAGTTGGCTATAGAGTTATTGGGTCGGAAGAGGGGAGGAAAAGAAGGAGTGCAGAAGTTGTTACAGATGATATTGGATAAGAACCAGAAGGATTTACTAGAGGAAGAATTAGTCAGGACAGCGGTCTTTCTTTTTATAAAATTCCGCTTGGCCCTACGAAGAATAGCCTTACAACGATTCCTAGAAGTAATGAAAGAGGCGTGGGTAATAGGAGAAGGAGATAGTTTCATAGCTCGATATGCCCTATCTCTCACCCGGCATGCAGGAGAGCAGGAGCGATCAAACCATGATTGAAAAGTGAAAGTTTTGGTAGAAGATGGGATAAATGCCTTCATACCATCCTGTACAACCCCAGCAATGCTGTCAACACTTACCGAAGCGTCCCGAGTGGAAAAGCAACACTCATCCCAAGGAAAGTCGGTGAGGAATTCTTGTAAGGATTGCCAGCTTGCCCTCCGATAGTGCCATAGTTGACGTTTAGAGGGGGGTGGGGGAGGTGGTCATGCCCAGTTAGATTTAATAGAAATAAGGCTGTGATCAGAAGACCCTAAGGGGCAGAAATTGAGTATGGTATAGTGTGAGGGGTCAGAGGTAAAACAAAGATCAAGAATGTTAGCAAGTTGATCATGTCGATCAGGAACGCGTGTAGGGTGTTTGATTATTTGTTCCAAATCATTAAGTAAGGAAAAAGAGAGTGCCTCAGCTCCACCTGGGTCATCCCTTGCAGAGCCAAGCCACTCTCTGTGATGTACATTGAAATCCCCTAGGTAGAGGATCTCAGTGTTGGGGTGTGTGGATAGCAACGACTCATGACAAGAAGTGAGATAGTCAAAGAGTTTGAAATAGTTGGTAGAGTTGGGAGAACAGTATAGGAAACAGAAAAATAGTCACAGTAGGTAGAGATATTTTGAGCCAGATGACATCATAAAGGGAAGATTCAAGATCCGTGAGTCGGGCTATAGGTGTACGTGTGTTGCAGTAGGCGCATACACCTCCCTTAGAACGGAAAGAGGTATAAAGGTTGTAGTTGGAGACTTGAAAAGGTTTGGGTGAAGCTGCTTTGGTCAGTTGAAGTTCGGAAAGTAGTAAGAGGTCGGGGGTAGAGGTTAATAGGTGGTGCTTCACGGAATGAAAATTGGATCTCAGTCCGCAAATGTTGGAAAAATGAAGTGTGATAAAAGCCGATCCTCCAGCAACCTAGGTGGCATCAGTTGAAGCCCCAGTAACTTGATGATGATCAGGTCGGCCCTGGGGTCCACAACCTCCCGACCAGTGGGACCCATCCGAGAAGGTCCCGCTTCAATATTAATATCAACTGACATAGGAGAATAAAATAGAATGAATAGAACAGATCAAGAATGAGTACGGTTATATTTGTGGTGTTGTCAATAGTAAGAGAGACAGTTGAGACCCTACAATTGTGTGTAAATGAGGCAGAAAGATAGATCAGCAACCTGGGACTTGGTCACAGTTTTCGTGATGCCATATAGCAGCAGAGTCTACCATTAGACAACACATTATGCTTCCAATATCATCCCAGGCGGTAGTACCTCCCTGTTTGGTAGCTGTCTACTACCTGTAAATTACAACATATATAAAACAATACAGCAGCAACTGTGTAGAAAAGTGAGTTGTTGTAAATTCCATTTGGGTGACTGCCACTGATGTTGACATGTTTGTGCATCTGGGACCTGGTGCACACTTCAATTTAACAAGGGCTGAAGCTTGAGCCTCGGCTTTACAACCTATACAGTTCTAAACCTCCCCTTTACATTACAGATGACCCGCCCCTGTACATTACAGATGACCCTTCCCTGTACATTACAGATGACCCGCCCCTGTACATTACAGATGACCCTCCCCTGTACATTACAGATGACCCTCCCCTGTACATTACAGATGACCCGCCCCTGTACATTACAGATGACCCGCCCCTGTACATTACAGATGACCCTCCCCTGTACATTACAGATGACCCGCCCCTGTACATTACAGATGACCCACCCCTGTACATTACAGATGACCCGCCCCTGTACATTACAGATGACCCGGCCCTGTACATTACAGATGACCTGCCCCTGTACATTACAGATGACCCGCCCCTGTACATTACAGATGACCCTCCCCTGTACAATACAGAATTTTTATGCTAAATAAAATAAATTGTTCCATGTCCCAAGTCCATTTAGAGTGAATTTACAGTCTATAGAATGCAGGAAAGATTTGCAGGAAAATGTGTGCATGTGTATAAAATGTGAACTAAGCTTATTTATTCTTGTATTGTTGAAATACTTTTAAATGTGAATTAATTCTTCATTTATAATGTTTTTCTTTTCAGGTGATGACAATTTTACGTGGTTGGCGATATGGGGTCTTCGTTGGGGGTTTGGTGGGGTTCATCAGTGCTGCCCTCTATCCCATCGTTATTTACCCAATGATGAATGTTGATAACTACAGTAAGTTATATTGATGCTTCAGTACTACTCTGCACTGCTGATTCTAATACTGTACAGTATCTTTTATTACCTTAGCACATCTTGAGCAACTCCAGTTGTAGTCCACAGTCGTGGTGGTTGAAAACAGGTGCTGAACTCCTAATGTGTGTGACAGGTGCTAATCAAACATGTCTACTATTTAACAAACAATTCCAGAAAAATAATCCCTGGGTCAGTGACTTGTGCCCGGGTGGGCTAATATTGTACAAAAAAAAAAAAACATTCTGAAAACCAAAAAATTCCGAAATGCCTCTGGCCCCAAGGATTTCGGATAAGGGATTGTCAACCTGTATATGTTTTAAGTAACGTTATTTGATGCTAATAAATGGAACAATAGAAGTAGCTAATCACTAATGGCAAAGAAAAAATAGAGAAGGATTGGGAACTCCAACATATACGTGCACATTTAAGGATACCACATCATTTATCTTAAGAATATGTACAAAAGATTCATTATTGTTTATTACTGAATATGTATTTGATTGAATTAATCTTTATATATGTGAAATGAACAATACAATTCATTAATAATACGTAGAGTATTAAAACACACAAGAGGATAAGAGACGGCATTGTTGTCAGTGTTTACACCCATAATGTCAGTTATCCACCTGAAACTGAAGAAATGTAATGTAAAAAATATGTATGTTTTAATTAATGTTAGTTAATGTACAGTAGAAATACCCACTTATATTAAAGAAAAAAGTGAGACTGATAGTGGAACGCCAGTGTATACAGTACGTGCGCACTCAAGGAAACATGGTCATTTATCTTAAGAATGTGTACAAAAGATTCATTATTGTTTATTACTGAATATGTAATTGATTGAATTAATGTTTATGTATGTGAAATGAATAATGCAATTCATTAATAATACGTGGAATATTAAAACACACACGAGGAGACAAGACGGCATTGTTTTCATGAGTGACGATGGTTCTACATAAGAAACTGAAGAAAATTAGACCCTGGTTGTTGCTGTAGTGAACTTAATGTAAAAAAATTGAATACCTGTATGTATGTTTTAAGTAATGTTATTTAATGTTAATAAATGGAACTCTAGAAGTAGCTAACCACTAATGGTAAAGAAATATAGCGAGACAATTGGGAACGCCAACTTATGTACAGTAAGGGCGCACATGTGAAAACATATCGTCATTTCTCCACATAAGAATGTGAAAGCAACACTTATTTACTGTTCATATATGTTTTAAATAATATTTATGAATGTAAAACTAAAATTCTACTCGCCATTAGTGTAAAGTCTAAAACATAAGGACAGCCAATGATGTTGTGTGAGTTTTTACTCAGATGACGAAGTCATCAGGTTCAACGCTGGCTGAAGCTGTAGCTGAAACTGTTACTGAACCTGAAGTTGTTGAAGCTGCTATGATGCTGAATTTGTTGGTGTAGCTGAAGTTGATAGCTTAGGCTTTCGAATAATAAAGCTGTCAAAAGAACCTTGCACAGCTGCTTTCTTTTCTCATTATACATCGTTATGTAGAGGTCATTTGCATTTATTTAAATTTTAATGCTTTGTTCTGTTCATACATCCACTTCAGAAAATATGTTCATTGCGTGCTCCAAATAATATCCACAGACCTCTCGCCTTTTTCATATTGTTTTAACATATCTAGTTTCTCAGCTAAGCTTATACACTTTCTATTAGCTTTTGAAACAATGCTACTGTAGTGGATGTCTCCCCTACAAACTAACTGCGTAGCAGCCCACCACCTGCCATCACATTCCAATGTGCCGCCTTCCCTAGCAACCAAGCGTATCCGCATTCCAATGCCCGCCGTATCTTAGCAACGGAACTATTCACCGGCTACTTCTCGGGTTTTCCCACCATGACTCATAGCCGCTGCTGGGTGTATATAAGCTCTGTCTCTCCCTTGAGATTCAGTCAGACCATTCTTCTTGAACTAGCAACACCTCCTCCTCCGCCGCTGCCTGGCTGCCCCTCGCATCTCCTCGCCTGCCTGGCGGTCCTCGCTCCCGCCAGCGAGCATGTCCTTCTCTGAGCTTCCTCACCAACCAACTCTCATTCTGGCCCATCTTCCTGAACACGCAACACCTCCTCCAGCAAGCTCCTAGCTGTCCAGCATTCATTCAACCAGGAGGCCAGCAACAGGCAACATCTTCTCTAACGAAGCTCCTGCACATCTACCTCCTTCAACAAGCTACTCCCGCACGTCTCTACCAAGCAGCCCCTCACCACACAGCACCTCCAGCACCAGACTGTCTATCATATAACTTATATATTATACAAGAAAACCACATTAGAGTTTCCTTCCATCCTGAGTGCTAGACGACTTTAATATGTCGATACCCCTACACTACCATCACTTGCTCTCTTGCTCATGTTGAATAGGGATGCAAAGATACCGTAAGAAACCTGAGAAAGTTTTTCTCCTGTTTCTGTTCAGATGCGTGAAAACAAAGGGCCTGCCAGCTGCGATTGTTTATACTAGTGATGCTGACGTCACCACTAACAAGCCCGGCAGCCTCCGTGTGCAAGGCGTGGTTTTTTTTTTATAATATAGGGATTTAGTTATTATTCAAATGAAAATGTAATATATTTTTTTAATTTTGTCGTTAATACAAAGAAAATACGTAATGGTGTAAATTGAATTGGGTCCTAAATTAACCAGGGTCTTAGATATGAATCTTCGTTAGTTGAACCGTCGTTATCGGAGGCTTTACTGTATTTCTCCTGAAGTTTTTGCTTGCCTTAGTACAGGGGGTACTTCATTTATTTTCCTGTCAGTGTAGCTTATTCTTAGAATTTGCTTGTAACATCACATTACAATGGCCTCCAACCTCTTTCTGGTGTCTGTTGAAAGTGTCCACAGTTCTGCCCCAAATATACTGTAAGTCCCTGTCATATATAGCCTTTCAGTAGCCTTTTTCTCAAATTGAAGTTAATGTTCCATTTCATTTTGTCTTTTACATTATTAAATGCTGTTTTTGCCTGCCCTATTCTTGTTTTGAGTTTTTCTCTCTACCTACCATATCACCTAATGTTACTTCCCAAATACTGTACATCACAGCGAGTCTCACAGGTCATTTGTCTACTCCTTGGCCATAAAAATGGGATGTCATGCTTTTATAGGCAAACTAATAATGTTTTGTTTTTAAATTCTCTGTAACTTTCAGAGAAAATTCAAGCAGTAACCAGGAAAGGGATCAACCAAGAGGACGTCCAGCCAGGAAGTGAGTTAAGATTTGTGGCATGTGTTGTATTGTATTGTATTTTATTTGTAAGTCTATTGTAGCTTCATAAGTGTCGGGGAGGGTAATTATAATGTTGGCTTAACAGTACAGTCAACAAGTGGTCAGAGAGATCACCCACTCAAAAAACCTCTGCTAGGGCCTACCTTGTCCGTGGGCTGTGTGTATGCTGACATGAACCCAGAACCTTCATCAGTATGTAATAGATTACCTTTGTATGAAATTTTAACAAAATCTACGTCCTAATCTCGTGTGCCGGAAAGCAAGGTATCGGGTCAGGTGTTTTGGGGGCGACACAGTTTTTTTTCTGGAAAGTAAAAACAAACGTGCTTGAATGGTACAGTTAGTCTATACATTATTCCTGAGGAAATTTATATAAGGGGGATTTAAAACTTACGGGCACAGTGTACAGGTATACCCTGTGAACCAACGTTCCCTTAACTGCTGCTTCGCATAACAGACAAATATATATTAGGAAAATGCCCACAAGTTTCGCTTACTACCCCGTTGATCCAACCATTGGAGGAGGAGCAGCAGAGCGCGTGGTGCAAATCCTTGCCATGATTACGCGAATTTGTATTTTGTGAATTATCAAGACTCTACCGTGTACAGTATATGATGTTGTTCATATCCCTGCCTTCCCTCCAACTTTGTGTCAGGTCTGATATACAATCACACCTAAGTGTCCCAACAATACTTCCTCTTTTGTTTAACCCATAAATGATGGCTACTGTTTTAAGTAGAGTATATATTGTCTTTAATGGGGATACTGTACAGTGGTCTAATGAGATTTGATGTAGGCCTAACGAGACTGAATAGGTACAGGATGACACTTGATGTGTGGGACTGGCTGTTGCCATGATTGCAAGTTTTGGTTTTTATTTAATCATTATAAGGAAGTATTTTAATATGATCAGCTTATTAAGGTGTTTCATCATCAATAATATAACGTCCAGTATAGAACAACATATGATACAATACAGGGAGTTCTGCTATAACGCGTGTTTTGATAACGCGAATTTGCTCTAACGCGATTTATGAATTCGGAACAATATTTGTATAACGCGAACGCTTGTTTGCTATAACGCGATTTTTGCTTACTATTTCTCCAATTTTGTGGTATTAACTGTGAATATGGTAAAGAAGAATATCTCCAAAAGGCGCTCTGATGATAGAATTCCCGGTGATTATCGTAAAAGAAAGGATATAACACTTGAAGAGAAGCTCAATGTTATCAACCTCAAAATCACCCTTCTCCCCCATCAAGTTACATTCATATTTTTTCAAGGTAAAGTGTTAAATTTACTGTATGATTTCATTATTAGATATGAATGTAACATTTATTTAGACTGTGCTATCCTTTGTGTTAGGCTAAATACTAAATTTTTTCGATTTCGAGTAATCTGCACCTAACCCTATTTTCTCCATAAGCCCTGTTATTTCTATTACGCGATTTTCTATAACACGATATTTTACAAGAACACAATTATCGCGTTATAGCAGAACTACCTGTATATAATTTAACTTCAAAGTAAAACACAAGCTGAATCACAAGGGGAGAGGTTCCCTGACCACTCACCCCCTCCCTCTGTAATGGGGGAGGGGGGGGAGACTGGCCATGCCATATTTGCCAGTTTGCTGTTTGTATTCATTATTTTATTCTACCATGATCAGCCTCTTATGGCATATGATTCATCATAAATAATATACAGGTACTCCCCGACTTACGACGGGGTTAGGGACCGACATCCAGGTCATAAGTCGAAATGGTCGTAAGTCGGAAATGCTTAAATAACTCATAGAAAATAGAAAATTTGGGTCTTTTTTTCTCTTCAACACCACAAAACACTCACTTTTAAGCTTGCCACACAAAGTGAATTGCAGATGAAAATTTTGTCTGTGTACTGACTTTGGGACTCAAAAATACATAATTTGACCACATTTTGGTACGACTGAGGCGGTCGTAAGTGTGAGTACACCATGTAAGTCGAGTTGGTCGTAAGTCGGGGACTCCCTGTAAAGTCTTCTGTAAGAGAAAAAGACAATTTTTTTTTCTAAAAAAGTTTTTGTGATAAAGTTCAGAATGCGACGACTAGCTTTATACCTATGTATGTATATGCCTTGTATTAATTTGTATATTAACTTGAGAACAAAATAATACGTTGTATCAAAGGTGACGTCTCGCTTTATCTTCTCTCCCTCCTCCCTCCCACAACATAGTAACCTAACAATAAACTTCATTATGATAGAAGCCATTTATTATGTCTGCAGATGGCTGTATTTTCTCCAGTAACCGTATAGAACAGGTTTATAGACATGGGATATCAACACGTTGACAGGCCTGCTGAATCCAAAAATTTCCCACTTGCCCGTAATTGTTTTAGAAATGTGTGGAGATATCTTTTAAAACTGTTAATGGCAGAAACAGTGGCCAAAGCATCAGCCAGAGGGGCTGGTTGAGGGGAGGAATGACGCCTCAACGTGGACTCAACGCTTCAACACTGGTGAATAACAGTCTCAATTTATGCTTACATTCCTTAATTAATGCTTATTATACTTGCTTTATGCGTCTGCTTTTTTTTTTATTGCTTGACACTTTGAACGACAGAGATATATCAAAGGTAGACGGGAGTTTGGGGCTGGGTGGTCCCTAACCCCTTGAATTTATTATATTCTTATGGGATTAATTGCTTCAAAAACTGTTGATTCACTGTCCGTTGACTTTGTACAGCCCACATACCCTACTGTATGCGTCAGTTTTTGAGGTATGCTTGTAATTGGTGTTTTAAAAATTCTAAAGGTGTTTTTTTTTATTGCAAGGATCTTTAATTAACAATACTCAACATTCTAAGTTATAAGTCCAGATCCATCATTAACATGTAAAAAAGTACTGTTCCTTTGTGTGAAATTTTAACAAAATCTACTTCATGATCATCTGTCAAAACGCACGGTATTATAATGAGTGATATATACTCATTAAGAAGTGACGGTGAGAATTTATAAAAGTAGGATTATAAAGTGATGAGAAGGATAGCATGACTCTCAAGGGTGTAAAGATAAGTTCATATATATTAACACAGGCTCAGTACAAGTGTAGTACTATATAAAACACCAATGTGTGTTACAGCTTTATTTTACTAGTTCAGCGGGGTTTATGGGAGGCTCTTACCTGATCGAGACACATTATTGTTATGTTCTCACCAAACAGTAGATTGGGCACTTCCGCTGCATCACCTACTACATAGTCAGTACTTACGTTGATATGATTAATCTTTGGCACATCTTCAATGGCCTGGGCTGAGACTTCGTTGCACCACTATTGGTCGTCTTCTCCAGTACAGCCGGTGGTATGACGTGCTGACTTCTCAGGGCGCTTGACAGTCGGGACCGAGGGAGCGAGTGTTGCTGGCCCTTTCGCAGATACGACTGACTGACGCCTCCCTTCCCCTGTAGGCTCCCTTTTATAGGAGATTTCTGGGTAGTGGATGTTGTTATCGGGTCACTGTTGCCATGTGCTTGGGAGTCACGGGGTGTGGTGTGCATATCGCGGAGGGTCGGTCGGTGATGCTTCCTTATTATAACTCATATGGGTGTGCTTGGCCTCTGTCCCTGTAATCATTTGTTTACAGTAGGCATCAGGCCAGTGGTCATGATAGGCCTATCGGTGGTGGCACGGCCCCTCCATACCTACTGATAGCCAGCACCTTGCCTCCTTCAAGGCCTGGCTAGCTTTGCTCTGACAGATATTCACTATAGTATTAGGTCAGGTGTTTTTGGTCGGATTTAGGATTTTTCTGGAAAGTGAAAACTAATGCGTGCTTAAATAGTAAAGTTTGCCTATATGTTTTTATAAAATACATTTAATGGGGTTTAAAACTTATGTGCACAGTGTAATTGATGTTTTAAAGACATTACTGTATTCTGAAGTTTTTTATTGTAAGGGTCTTTAATTAACACTAATTAATCAAAATTTTAAATTATAAACCCAGATCCTTAATTGGCATATAACTTAGAACCTTTGTATGAAAGTTGAACTAAATCTGTGTCATGACCTCATACAGAAGAGTATGGTGAAGGTTATCTTGTTTACCCTTTAATGTTTTTTTTTTATAACTTATACACCACTTTTCTTTTTTCAGATATGAAAGTTTGGTCTGATCCATTTGGAAGAAAATCTTAGTACAGTACTTAATTAACTTTTAGATACTGTATAAATATAGGTAACATGTACAGTAACTGGAATTGTATATTGTTTTAAATAAAATTGTTTCTTTTTCTTCTGAATTTTTAAAATATTAATACCCTGTATCACATTGACACTGAAAAAAAATTGTAAATTGGACTTGATGAAGTGCAGTCGTGGCGAAAAGTGATCATCTACTCCATCACGTAACCCCTGTGCCTGGTCGGGTCCTTTCTGCACGGTAAGTCATGTGGGGTGGAGAGGGGGACTTGGGAGGGAGGTATGTGATGCAAATAGGTCATCAGATAGGGAGGGGATTGAAGAAGGCAGAGAAATTGATGAAAGATGGATATTTATTCTCTCACTATATTATCTTAGGTTGACATGCTGGAGAGAGTAAAGGGGGAGGACCTTCATGTTATCATTATTATAATGTGTCATTCATTTCCTTGTTTATATTTTTTTCAGGTTATTGTTCAGGTTTTAAACAACGGTAATTAAATACGTACAATAACACTGATAGAAGGATAAATATTGAATATGAGGGCATAAATCACATTTATTTGTGATATTTACCAACACAGGTCACACAGAATGTCAATAACTCGTCCATTGTTTTCCCCGCAGGTCATTCGTGGTCTTCCCGGCCAAACATTTATATAAATTAACCTCTTCTTTACTGGTTGTTCTTCCCGATGTAAACAAACATATAACGCACTTCTCTCCCTCATCGTACGCTGTGTGGGAGGGGGTATAGTTATGCCTGCACCCACACGTTTATTCTATGTTAATTATTTATATATCTACTGTTACGAGTTGGGGATTTAGAATATAGTTAAAAGTCTACCCAGATCCCATCAGGCAACAACAATAAAAAAACTTAAACAAACAAAGACAATCGGACTATAAAAGGGTAGACAAAGGATGCGAGTTTTTGTTGTGTATAATAAAGTACCACAAATTTCTTAACAAAATATTCAGCTTTCTATAATTTACCCTTAACCATACTTAACCTAAACATACGCAACATTGGCTTAACAGTATATACATATTTATACAACATACAACAATCTGAAGCAAGTGGAGGTGGGAGGTAATATAGGGTTACATTACTCAAGTGCGGTGCTGAGGTGTCTGACGAGTAAGTCTGAGTATTGAAGAAGATGGTAGGTAGTCACTGTGCCGTAGGTTTCCAGGATAGGTGATCCTAGTGTGATCACTTCCCAGAGTGAACTGCCCTCTCCTCGATCCGGAGCTGATGAGGAAGAGTTGGAGGAGGTGACGCAACAACCAGGATATGGAGAAAGGAAACCCGGGGTGGTGACTAAGACTAGTCATACTCGGGTTTCGGTAGTGCTGGGTAGTTACATCATGACAATAGATGGGATGGTTCGTAATTCCCCCCCCCCCTTCCAAAGACCTCCGTAGCGCGGGCGCGAAGGAGGTGATCACCTGGTGCGTCTGGAGAGTAGCTGCTGCATTTCCACTGGAGCTCGGGATAAGGAGTCCGCAATCAGGTTGTCCACCCCCTTTATGTGCCGGACTTGTAGATTATAGGGCTGGGTGAGGAGAGCCCTGCGGAGGATTCGCTGGTTGGAGGTCTTGTTGGTTTGGATGAACGTGAGCGGGTTATGGTCGGTGAAGACTAGGGTGGTTTGTGGGCGAGATTGGAGGTAACATTCAAACTTCTTTATTGCCAACACCAGAGCCAGGGCCTCCTTCTCTATGGTCGAGTAGTTGATCTGATGTTTTTTCAACTTGGCGGAGTAGTATGCCACAGGGTGAAGGACATCAGTGGTTGGGTCGGGTTGTAGGAGCACGGCCCCACTCCGACACAGCTAGCGTCGATTTGCAGATGGAAGGGCAAGGTGTAGTCAGGGGGGTGGACTACAGGCTTGGAGGCAAGGAAGGCTTTGAGGCGGTGGAAAGACTGGTCGCACCTCTGGTTCCAGATGTAGTGGACCGTGAGAACTGTGAGGTGATCCCACGGAGAAGTTACTGCAGAACTGAAACAGACATCCCCAGGAAGCGATGAAAGCCTCCTGCCCTAGAGTGGGGGAAGGACAAGATGCGTTTTAACATTTATGCCCTGGGTCTCGCCCATACCATGCCCAACGATATGTCCCAGGTAAGTCACTTGAGGCCCGGCCAAAAGCAGATTTAGCCAGGTTTATGGTGAATCCAGTCTCTGCAGTCATGAGAACAGTATTCCAACCCACCAGATGTTTGTCCCAGCCGTCCCATCACCACCAGGTCATCCAGGGTAGGCTTAACGTCCCACCTAGGTCTTAACCTATGAATGATTGCCCTCTGGAAATGTGGCCGAGCATTAGAAAAGCCAAACACCATAACCATATATTGCTGAAAATAATTCAAATGGAGTTTATAAATGCCTAGATTACAGTATTTTTGCCCTATCTGTAGAGTCCCACTTGATAACATCCTTTCATCAAGCCCACCGCTGTAATAAATTTTGCACAGCCTTATGCTGTCTATTATATCTTCAATCAAAGCGTAAAGGTAGAGTTCCGAGACAGTGACCTGGTTCACTTTACGATAATCAGTACAGAAACGAAAAACTGCTATCCGGTTTTGGAACGAGAAGGCAAGGTGAAGCCCAGGGGGAGGTACTTGAAATTAGCTGGTTATGTTTTGGTAACAAAAAATCTACCTCCTTTTTCATAATCTCTCTTTTGTGGATTTAGCCGATATGCTGATTGCCTTAATGGGTTGTACATCATCTGAGATTAGCTTAATATCATGTTTAAGCATATTGCAAAAACCCTGGGAGGTCTGATGTGACTTTAGGAAATGTTGATAATAACTTAGTGAGATCTTTTGCTTGGAGATGATTCAGAACAGAAATATACTCATCCATTTTGTTGAGTATGTGACTGTTAGCAGGGTTTTCTTTTTAGGTAGAGGGAAGTCTAAATCTTAATAGGTCCATGTCATCTGTCCTCGCTCTGGCCCTGACAAAGCTCGCAGATGTAATACAGGTAGGCTTATAGCCTCTAGGATGTCTTCCTCTGACTGCCTGAATGGTAAAGTTTCATGAGATTAATGTGAACAATGTGAATCTTTTCTGATCAGAGAAGGGACTATATAGTTGAGGGGAGATAGTTTATTAGCAATATATAGGACCAGTAAACTTGCTTTTTAAGAGAGAGCCTGAATGGGTAGAAAGAGTAACACTGCTCTGGGCCTGAGAAAATGATCTTTCAAATCTAATTTATATGGGACTTCAATGCATTTTTTTCTGGACTTTTTTAAGTTTGGATTTGATAAATGTCTGACTTTAGTTAATTTTGTCCCACAGAAAAGGTCAATGTATTAGAAACTGTTATGGCTTAATAGATGGAGTGTCAAACCACTGTTCTTTACTATTTTGGCAAATCCCTAATTTGTCTCCCCATATAGTGGTCTTCGAACTGGGAGAAACCCAATGACTCCCTGGGGACATTCCTCATGGCAAAGAGTAAGAAGTCTATGCTTTCATCCCATTCCTTTTGCGTTCTATACAGCATTTTTTTTTTGCATTGATTTGAAAGTTTGATGGGTGGTAAGTCGAAGATGTACAAATGGTCCACACTCGAGGTCTTTCATCACCCGTTTGAAAAAGATTGCTTGTAAATTGGTGCCCTGATCGGATTGGATCTCTTAGGAAATGCCCATCGAAGTGAAAAGGTGCAAAGAGGTTTGATTACATTTTTGAAGTGATGCTTTTTATGTGGAAAAGCCTCAGATACAACGTGTACTGGTATCCATAACTGTGAGCAGGAATTGATTTCCTTCTTAGTCTTTGGTAATGGGCTCCACATTAACCACAACAATCTTTTCAAATGGTGTAGAAAATATCATGTTTAATGGAGCTGCTGGTATACTTTCATTTGGTTTTCCTACCATTTGACAAATATGACAAGATTTTGTGTACTTGACACATCCTTCCTAAGTCCAGGCCAGTAATAGTATTGAGTGAGCTTTTTTATAGTTTTCAGATTCCCAAATGTCCTGAACACCATCATGGGCAGCGGCAATTAATGCTGGTCTCTGGATCGAGGAGGAATTACCACTTGATGGCTTGCACCACGTTCAGATGGGTAAGCTCAGGGGGTCTATAGACCTCTATCAAAAACCCCTCTCTGATAATAAAAACAAGCGAAGGGTGTTAAAATCTTTACCCCTTAACTATGCATGATGAAGCTTTATTCAAAGATGGACTGGGGATTAAGGGCTTTAAATGAGCTCAGTCCTACTAATGGTCTTATTGTACAGATCGTCTGTGGGTAGGAAAGATATTGGAGGTGGTTTAGATGAAGAGGGCCCATTTCTGCACACTCCTGTGACCGGGTGACAGCACAAGATGGGGGAAAAAGGTGAGGAATAGTTTCTTCAAGGTCAGTGGTGGAGCTGGACAGGTGAGAGTCGACTGTCTTATAAGCAGAACCACTCAGATCTCCTACCAAGTCATTACCCAATTATAAATGAATGCCACTCACAGGCATTGGATCTTTTTCTATCGGCTACTTGCACCTCCCCCAGTAATCATGACATTGAGTAATTCTTTAGCTAAGGGAGGTGTTGAATGGATGAAAGATCTGAAATTAGAACATCATTAGTAAATGCGGTAGATATATCAGGAATGACGTTAAACAGGAGGATAGATTGTGCTGCGCCCGTATCACGTAGTATACGAATAGGAAAAAAGAAACGAGACCCCTCTATGACTGGAAATTTCTTTCCCTCAAAGGAAGAATGAAGAGAAGAGATCCCGATGGGCCTTTCCACATTGGTGGTTGCTATTGGGTTTGAATTTGGGATCCAGAACTATCCACTTTTGTAGTTCTGGACACTTTGGGTGTTTACAAGATCTGGACTGTATGGCCTTGGTTTTTTAAGCAGTAAACAATAAACTTGGTTGCATCAGGGGGTAGTGGGACCTTTCTGACCCCACCACCATGTACCCAAGGTAATCATAATTGTTAGAGGTTCTGGGCCACATGCTGAAAGTACCACGTTCCCTACTTGCCCAGTGACTCCACCAGCAAGGCGTACGCATCAGCTTTCACCTTAGCAGCACGCCCCTAAATTAACCTCTCCATGCCCTCCACATGCTTCAAGATGAAATGGTATCTTGCTCTTCCACCTCCAGGACTACCAAGTTTAACAAATCCTGAAAAAATGTGGAGGTCTCTGTAGCCTCTAACCACTTCTGAAAACCTAAGCTTTTCTTGAGCAAACTCAACAGTGGCAAAATGTTTTGGTTGCTTGATGAAAACTTGCCGATATCTATCTGGCGTGATAGCATAAGAGGTAGTGGAGATATTCTTTACGTTATCAGGCCACCATCTGGTCTAAACAGCGAGTAAACTCTTTGATGAGCCTGCCTAATATAACCTAGAACTAAATAATCGACACCCACTGGTCCTTAGGCCACTCATTCTTCCCGGCTATTTTCTCAAAAGTCCTAAATGACCCGTCCATATCGGATTCATCAAACTCGGGAACAAGGGAAGAAGCATTAGCAGGGTTAAAAGCAGCTAGTCTCTCTTTTAATGCCACTTCTTTTAATTTAAACTCCGATGTTAAGGTGACTTCTGTCTCTTTCACCTGTAGTTCTTTCAGTCTAACCTCCTGCTCCAACTTGGCCTGTTCCAACTTGGCATGTTCCAACTTTACTCTTTCCTCATGCTCCAACTTGGCCTGTTCCAACTTGGCATGTTCCAACTTTACTCTTTCCTCATGCTCCAACTTGGCCTGTTCCAACTGGAGTTCTTTCATTTTGATTTGGAACTCGAACCTAGCTCGTTCTATCTCTAAGGCGTCTACTCTTTGTGTTTTTTCTTGAAGGCTAGCCAGACCTGAGGCAACTTCTGAGTGAGGAGGGGTGGTAGATAGTGGTTGAAGTGTATTGGACATGGGCGCTAATTGGTCAACAGCGGATTCTTCTAAAACTTCTTGTTGAACCAACATTTCAATTACCTGATTTTTTAACACTTCCTTAGTCATTTGCTGTGAATATGGGATATTGTAATAAGTGGCTATTCCTTCCCATTCTTTCTTCAGGATATTAACACGTAATTTAGATACGGAAGGATTTTCAATAAAATCCTGGAGATCAAAACCTGAGGTGGTCTTTGTTAAGAAAACTAGATAAATTAACTAATGGCCAAAAAGATAAGATAAGTGGATTACCCTAGAAAATATCACGGCAGTGGATAACCAGAAAGTCCCGGAAACTACCCAAGTTATACCTAGGGAAATTACACTTATGAATATTGTTCTTCTGATAAGATCCTTAGATAAGGATAAGAGACTTGGAAAGATACTTGAAACAGGAAGGGCGTATTACGGCATTAATATAAAGATCCAGATAAACAACCCTTGAGTTACTTTATTATTGACCCCGAATGAGATAATGAGAAGAACAATAATTGAGGCTTTATAATTATGGGGTCCTGGCAGAGCGCGGCGTCCCAATATATCACTTCACCCTAAACTAGTGACTATGGAACAGCCTACTCTGGAGCGAGGGTACGGCATTAAACAGATCCGGATTCTTCCCTACACTCGATAAGACTTGCTACACGACTGCCTACGTGTAATAACAGGTAAGCCTTATGACACTCGGAACCTAATATCCTACGTCTGTCACTCTTACTGTACGATAATACCAATATATGCACACACATATGAAGGGAACTTTAAACCACCGTAAAGCAATTGTGAACAGAAGTGACTGGGAGGAATAATTAACAAGGAGTAACAAGGGGGGAAGAAATATGGCACTTAAGGTCGGGTCCTGTCACGGTCGCCATTTGTTACGAGTTGGGGATTTAGAAACTGGTTTAGAATATAGTTAAAAGTCTACCCAGATCCCAACAGGCAACAACAATAAAAAAAACTAAACAAACAATGACAATCGAACTATAAAAGGGTAGACAAAGGATGAGAGTTTTTGTTGTGTATAATAAAGTACAATAAATTCCTTAACAAAATATCCAGCTTTCTATAATTTACCCTTAATCATACTTAACTTGAACATATGCAACATTGGCTTAACAGTATATACATATTTATACAACATACAACAATCTGAAGCAAGTGGAGGTGGGAGGTAATATAGGGTTACAATACTCAAGTGCGGTGCTGAAGTGTCTGACGAGTAGGGCTGAGTATTGAAGAAGATGGTAGGTAGTCACTGTGCCGTAGGTTTCCTGGATAGGTAATCCAAGTGTGGTCACTTCCCAGAGTGAACTGAACTCTCCTCGATCCGGAGCTGATGAGGAAGAGTTGGAGGAGGCGACGCAACAACCAGGATATGGAGAAAGGAAACCCTGGGTGGTGACTAAGACTAGTCATACTCGGGTCGCGTCCCTAGATGGCGTTGCTCGGTAGTCCTGGGTAGTTAGATCATGACACAATAGATGGCGTGGTTCGTAATAACAGGGATAAATTACTCCAGAAGGCAGCCTTCCTGGTATTTTCTGATAAGGATGTTACCCTTTTTCCTACGGAGATCCTAAGAAAAAATGAAAGGGAAGATTTCCAAGCTCAACCTATTAGGATAAAATGTCTAATGGATGAAACAAGGGTTCCTCATATATTGTGCCCAGTTAAAAATCTTCAGGAATGGTTAACCAGATTCCCTAATCGAGGCTCCTATGTTTTCTCATCAAAGGATGGTAAGAGATTCTCTGCTAGTCAAATGACAAAATCCTAATCTCAATTAGTGAATCAAGCAGACCCTGGCAAGAAATTTTTGGCACATGACACTCGGAAATATGCAGGGTCTGTGGCCTTTCTGCGGCATATGAGTTTCAGTCAGATCAAGGAAATGGGCTTTTGGAGATCTTCAAAAACTTTCAAAGACAGTTATCTTCATCTATCTCTGAAAGATGCTTCAAATGTGGTGGTGCTGGGGTCCCCTCCCCCACCTAGTCAATCTCCACAACCAGGACCTTCTTCCTCATCAGAATAAAGTGAGTATCCTTGGAAGTGAGTATTTTGGAAATATTCTAAACAGTTTATAACATAATTTGGACCTAAGTCAGCAGGGCCTTGTATGCAGAGTCACCTCCCTCTCCACCTCCTGCTCGGGTATTCTTGCTGAGCGTTGCATTCCGACTTGATAAAAAGCCGTTTTTTTCTAAAAAACAGTTTTTGTGATATAGCTCGGAATGCGACGCCGATAACCCACCCATCGCCACCCCTCGAGAGTTGACTTTTGTTTACTGCTCGCTCTGAGGCAAGAGATGAAGGTTGTGATGCGTATGGTGGGGGGTGAAGGAGGGGGTTTTGAGAATTGCAATTAAATGCCAGGTAGTGACATGTCCTCCTAATATTACTTACAGTGAGTTCTCGTATAACGCGTGTTTTGTCAACGCGAATTGGCTGTAACGCGATTGATGAATAGAAGAACAATATTTTTAAAACGCGAACGCATGTTGGCTGTAACGCGATTCCACTCGAACGGTTGTTGTTGCTTGGCGCGGGGTGTTGCAGTGTTTACAGTTCACGTTCGACATCACATGTTCAATTGATTTATGTGTTTTGTTTTTGAAAAATTGCAGAAATAATTTATGTAATATTTATGTATACAGTATACCTGTACAGTGTATGTAAATCGTAAAATTTTAAATACCCGTAAGAGAGAAAAACAAAATATGTAGCGCTTTACACCCGCGCTCTCTGTTTACATCACACACGATCAGTTTGAAACGTGTGGGAAGTTTTGAAGCGTCCTCGGTGATTTTTGCTTACTGTTTCTCCAATTTTGTGACTATGGAAAAGAAGAATATCTCCTGGAAGCGTTCTGGTGATCGCATTTCTGGTGGTGAGCGTAAAAGAAAGGCTATAACACTTGAAGAAAAGCTTGATGTTGTCAAGCGTTTTGAAAATAAGGAAAGAACATGTGATATTGTGCGTGCAACGAGAATAAAGGAGTCTACTTTATGCACCATTAGAGACAATGCAGGAAAGATTAAAGCAAGCTGTATGGCTGGAAAAACCTTTAGTGCTAGCAAAAGTGTGAATTCACAGCCAAAGGAACTTGAGGAGATGGAATGGGTTCTAAGTGTTTGGATAGAAGATCAAATGAAAAAGCGATCTGGGACCAGCTTCCTCACCATTAAAGAGAAAGCCTTATCAATATATGAGGACCTAAAGAAAAAAGCTGAAAATCCTGCTCATGTGGTTGCCTTTAGTGCTAGTAGTGGATGGTTTTCTGGTTTTAAGAACCGCTATGTGCTTCATAATGTAAAGTTATGTGGTGAAGCAGCAAGTGCCGACGAAGCAAGTGCCTGGGCATTTCCTCCCACTGTAAAGAAATTGATTCAGGAAGAAGGCTACACCTTAGACCAAATTTTTAATTTGGATGAAACAGGTTTATACTGGAAGCGCATGCCAACAAGAACTTACATTTCCAAGAATGAAGCACATGCTCCAGGCTTTAAGGCTGCGAAGGACCACGTGACAGTGTTGTTGGGTGCAAATGCTAGTGGAGACTTATAGCTTAAGCCTGTGCTGGTGTATCACTCTGTTAACCCGCGAGCTTTAAAGGGTTACATAAAGTCTACTCTAGGTGTTCATTTTAGGTCAAGCAAAAAAGGTTGGATGACGGGACAAATGTTTTCTGACCTTCTTGTGGATGTTTTTGAAAATGTTTTTAAAAATTATTGCAAGAAGAAGAATATAGATTTTAAGATTCTCTTCATTTTAGATAATGCACCAAGCCGCCCTCCCACCATTGCTGAGCTTTCTGACAATATCAAAGTGCTCTTTCTACCTCCAAATACAACATCTCTCCTTCAACCAAAGGACCAAGGAATAATAGCAGCCTTCAAAGCCTTTTATTTGAGGTGTACATTTAAGAAACTTATTGCAGCTACTGAGGAAGGAAATGATAAGGCCAGTGTTCTTCAGTTTTGGAAAAGTTTCAACATCAAGCATGCAATTGACATCATTGTGGAGGCCTGGGGTGATGTAAGTAAGGATTGCTTGAGTAGAGTTTGGCAGAAGATTCTCCCAGATTTAATTCATGATTTTACAGGCTTTGATGCATCAGAGGAGCTCCCAAAAATAAAAGAAAATTGTGTTTCTCTTGCAAAGAAAGTTGGCTTTGCTGTAGTGGAAAGTGCTGATGTTGAGGAACTGCTCGAGTCCCACTGTGAAGACCTCTCCACAGCTGATCTACAACAACTTGTTGCTGCTGGGGAAATAGAAGATGATGAAGATGATGAAGTCGAGGATGCAAAACCACGTGAGCTTCCCACTTCTGTTTTGTCTTCTATCCTGAGGGAAGTTGATAAGCAGTTGCAGATCTTGGAAGACAATGACTACAATGCAGAAAGGAGCAGGATTGCAGTTCGTGGTGTTAAATCTTTTTGGGCACCTTATGAATAGCTTCTTTGTGAAAGAAGAAAGACGGCAAAGCAGCAAACTTTAGACGTCTTTTTTAAGTTAACCCCCAAGAAGCAGACTGAACCACAGTCTGAAGACACTGAACCACAGCCATCCACTTCTGGAATTAGACGTTTTTTTCGGCCCTCCCATGCAACCAAACCTGCACCTGATACTGAAGATGACGATGACAACTGTCAAATCCTGTCTGCATGACTCCTCAACATTAACCTACTCCCCCATCAAGTTATACAGTAGTACCCCGATTTACGCGGCTAATTGAACCCACGGGTACCGCAGAAAGTGAAAACCGCGTAAAGTGAACAACAGAACATATGGGATTAATTCCAATAGAGACTGGCCCGACCCCCAAACTCCACTTTTTCCGACACAATACCTATGTTGTAGTAAAAATAACATCTTAATATTATGATGGTATGCTCACACAATTAATATTTAAGAGAAATACAGTCACCAGGTTAATGTCCATTCAAATAATGGACTCAACTCTCCCCCCCCTCTTCCAAGCTCACTGGCTCCTCCCTCTCTGAGAAATGTTTGGGGGAAAACACTAGATTTTAAGGTATAGTAATAAATAATACCTCAGACTAAAGTTAGGATAATATAATTGACATTTCTGGATTCCTTGCAGGTCAGGGAATATTTTGAATGTAAACTTCATATATTTTACACAAAAGATAAAATATTTGCTTTGTGTAAACCAATTTATTACATTAGATCTAAAATTTGTATGTCTAATGCAAAATCCATGATGTTTATATTCAAAATGATCATCATGTAAGAATTCCAGCAATGTAAATTATATTCTGGCTGGGTAATTTGTATGAATTTTATGAGCTAAATAAAAAAATTATACTTCACCCGCGTATATGAGTAGATGCACCGCGTAAAATGAAATTCCGGTTCTGGCTAGGTACCGTGTAAATGTAGAATGTAGAATCGCGTAAAGCGAAACCGAGTAAATCGGGGTATTACTGTACAGTATTCATATTTTTTCAAGGTAAAGTGTAACATTTACTGTATGATTTCATTATTAGATATGAATGTAACATTTATTTAGATTGTGCTATCCTTTGTGTCAGGCTAACTACTAAATTTTTTTCGATTTCGAGTAGTAACCTGCACCTAACCCTATTTTCTCCATAAGCCCTGTTATTTCTATTACGCGAATTTCTATAACATGATGTTTTACAAGAACACAACTGTCGCGTTATAGCAGAACTGACTGTACAGTACCATCATAAAATTAAGATGTTATTTTTACTACAACGTACGTATTGTGTTGGAAAAAGTGTAGTTGGGTAGTCAGCCCAGTCTCTATTTCAATTAATCCCATATGTTCTGTTATTTCGTTTACGTGTTTCTCGTTTTACGCGGACCTCCACGGGTTCAATTGACCGCGTAAATGCAGACTATACTGTACAGTATTTTTCTTTCCTTTTATTTATTATTATAATTTTTTATTAATTCCTCACATTTACGGAGGAATATATTAGACCGCAGAGGGATAAAGACGCCACACTTATCCACAGATTCTTGAAATGCAATGTCATGGTTGTGTGAAATGGTTTGCAGGGTAAAAACCATGAATATCCGGGATCTGTGGATGGAAAATCTTCGGTTGGCGAGGGTCAACTCTACTGTACAGTTTATGGAACACATTGCAATTTTTCTCATTTACGGTAAATATTTGTTCCTTTCATGCAAGTTTAGTTTAAGTGAAATTTCTTGGGGCTATAAACCTTTCATGCTATATCAGTGATTGCCTTTAATATGGTGAGAAATACAGTACAGTAGTTTAGATAGATAGATGGATAGATAGATAGATAGATAGATAGATAGATAGACTGAAAGTTATACAGAAAATAGATCAAAATCATCATCATCCACATCAAAATCATACAGCCATTTTTCACACTTCTGAAGGATAGCTGCAATAACACTCCATGCTGCACCATTTTTTGCAGTCTATCTTGTCAGGTTCTTAAGTCTAAGATCATTTCTTACAACCTCTCCCCATATCATTCTTGGCCTACCTACCACTGGCTCTCCTCCTCACCACATTTAGACTCATGCACCACTTAACCCAGCTGGTCTCATCCATTTTCTCCACATGCCTGATCTCAGTCTACTTGTATGTAAATCTTAGCCAATACCCCCAATACCCAGCCGTCCTCCTAGCTCTGAACGGGATTCTTATCTTTCAGCATCACAGTACACATCCACCTCACCATTCTCATTTCAGCTCACTCAAGACTGCATATGTCATCCTCTTTAACTGCCTATGTTTTCACTGATACATAACACCACACTTGTCGCATCAGTTATATTCATTCTTCCTTTCATGTGATGGGAAAGTCCTCTTGCTGACAATAAATACAACAGTTCCCTAATCTTCCTCCAGCCATTTCTGACTTGAAAATGAACAGCACCCTCTCCAGCACTGATCATGTCACCCAGGCAGCAAAACTCATCCATGACTCACAACACAGCAGCCTTCAGCACCCTCTCCAGCACTGATCATATTCCCAGCTATATTAGTGGTACATTAATTCAGTAGTTTAGACAGATAGACAGGTAGATGTACTGTAGATAGATTGGGTGATAGACAAACACAGAAAGAGATGAAAATATAACAATTTACATTTTCAACCAACATGGCTCACGAGTTGAGCAATGTGTTTTTCCGATGGTTTAAACCAGGGGTCACCAAACTACGGCCCGCGGGCCGGATCCCAAGTCCTTCCCCGGCTCGTGGTAGCTCCGCCTACGCTCTGACGTTACCAGAGCTTTCGTTCTGGCTTGCAAGTATTGAACAGAATGATTATGCGGCCCGCGCTCGTCATTCTTTCAGTTATCCGGCCCACTGTGAAAAAAGTTTGGTGACCCCTGGTTTAAACCATCGGTTACCAAATATGGGGTTGCAAGATGCATCAAAAGGGGACACATAGAGATCATGGGGTCGATGGGGTCACCTGGGTCTTGCAGCGGTCACCTGTGATTTTTTCTTTTTAATCCAGGTGTCAAGGACTGAAGGACAAGGCCTACAGGTGCTGTTTCGTTAAGTCAGGACCATAAATTATGGTCAAGGGATTAAGACAGTTATTCTCCTTGCCCTGTGACACAACACAAGTTCCACACTCCTATATACTGTATACCTTTTAACTGTTCTCAGCTCAGTTCACTCTACTACCCACAGATGAGCACAGAAAATGGCAGCAAATTTCAATGAGTTGCTTACCGAGTCTTTTGCACATAATAGCGGGAGAAGGGAATACACTGCCCTGAAAAGAGAATCCGTTACCGATGCATAATCTATTATCAATACTCATATCATTTAATTTATCAGCTGATATAACATATTGTATGCTAACATACAACAAACTCATACAAATAATGTTTCTCCCCATACAATGGCATACATCGTCATGCCCCATGCAGGTATTGGTGAAAGTTAGCAAGCAGTGTTGCTTGTCCACATAATAGAGTGGATAATAATATGTTATTGGTGTTTCCCAAATTAAGGAAACACCAGATATTATTATTCACATAATGAGGATCTCTCACTAAACACAGTGTATCTGTACCAGGTGCTGACACACACTTTACCCCCTTCTCCCGACGTCACCTCACCGCCCAGTAGACAACAGATAAATAGTAATCTGTATTACTATTACTTTGACGATGCTTATGGAATTAAATTACAAGACATCTGTCATTGGGTCATAAATGCAACCCCTATGTAAATGGACACCATATGTAGAAGCCCCAGCCCAACCCCCTATCACCCCTGGAGTAAGTAACAGTTGCTTAGGTTTCAGCAGGAGGAGGGAAAGACATGGAGGAATACAGCATGACCGATGCATGTGTGTGCAACTTGTGGGGGGGGGGGGTATTGTTGTCTTATCACAGTAGTCTATTATCTCATTAATTCTTTACAGTAAATAAGCATAGAATGCTTCAGACCTGTAGCACAAGCTGGGAATACCACCCTAATGTGCAGTAACACATTTTACTCATACTGTAATTTGTGTTTTGTCCTATGTATTTATATCTTTGCTTAATATATCCTGTGTTGTAACTGCACAGATAACTTCTTAACTCTCTCACCTCTCTAGCCCACCCACTCACACACCTGCTCCCTCCCTTGCTCGTGAATGTTTCGGATTCAAGAGTCGATAGTCCCAGGGTTCACACCACACAGAGAGGGTAGATTGACAATGCTGATTGTTACAGGTGGAAGTAGAAGAGGCTGCACCTTAACATGTGCCAGCATTGGTTAACTCTCGTCATAAATGTGCTCACACATTCTGGCAGGTTATTCAAAGAGTTCACAAATCTTATTTCAAAGATGTTAGGTCTGACTGTTTTCTGTACTAGTGGGAGGCCTGATCCTTGTACCATCTACAGTAGCACATTATAACTTCTCCATTTAAAATATCTACAGGTAAGAGTACAAATAATACCCAATATTTACAGCTTTATTTATTTATTAATTAACTGACTGTTGACATCAAAATAATCTCCTAAGATACGTGATAGAGTTCTACACTTACATCATAAATAATCACTATGTAAAAGCTAGGCAGAAATGCCAACTTCCATTCCATCACGAGCATTGGGAAAGTGATAAAAAGCTTTAGATAAAACATCAGAGATTCACTTCCAGTTTGCTCCTCAATAGAAAAGATATCCCAAACTGAAGATCTATCTGAAGCAGTTGATCACCAATCAAATCTCAAAAGTGAAAGTTGCTTGACCTACTACAGAAGTGTGTTTAATTAAATGATGCTGAAATAAAATCTTGCTTAGCAAAGCTTACAGATGATGGAAGAAAGAAAGCAAAATTTCCTTTACAATTTAAATCTTGCTTAGGAAAAATATCCCACAGCAAACTTCTCATAGTGCACAATGCCAAATTTACAATGGCTTGAAAATCAGAAGCATTGAGTCTGGTCACAAAAAAACGGTTGTGGTGTAAACACTTGAGTTGATTGCATCTTGTACTTTTTTACACACAGACCAAGAGCAACTAACACAACTGAAATACTCCATATCTCTATTTCTGTTACCTTCTGCTAAGATGCCCAAGACCTGCCAAGTGATGAGCAGTGATAAACACTATTCTCAAGAAAAGAGGAATGACTTCCTTGGGATGATTGTGTGCACCCCTTACACTCATCACCTACACTGAGAAAGGGTGTATCACCTCACAATGTATCAGTCCACACTATTGTACAGAGATCTTTGAAAAGACAATACATATAATTTACATATAAACTTGTAACACTGACGCTGGGCATCTCATTTTTCATGAAAGTGATTCACCTAAATAGCACTGAAGACACAAAGAACACATTTTCTCTGCTCTCACAGACATTTCCATGAGATAGGCTGCAACATTCCTACATAATTCTACAATACACACTCAACATCAAACAGTCCTATGTACAGAAATGATGATGCCTTTATTTCTAATTTTCCTGGAAAATAATAATTACAATAGGCATTGTGTATCATCTTCACACAGAAGTGATATTTCTTGTTATGAAATAATTAACCAATCATTTAGGGGAAGGTCACACTATAACTTCAAAATGTTCTCAACTGCCAAATGAAATTAGGAATGAACTTCATATGAATGAATAACATTCACCATGTGAACAGGAATATATGTATAACCAAGTCAACTCTTCAAATAAAAAAAAACACCAATTGATCATTACATAGATGCCTCATTAATTGAAAAAGTTGAAAGTCTTCTATTTATGTGAACAGTCATTAATTACCCAAATCAGGGTGGAATGACTGACAACTTTTTCAGTACAATACACAAACCACCTTTAACAGTAGCTACCATACAAGCACTTCAAGGATCTTCCCATCCTTACTTAACTACTGTTGTTAAAACTTTACACAAGTAAAGGTAATTTACACAAAGAAAAGAAGTTACTTGAAGCTGCTTCTGAAGCACTTTGAAGCTTCAGTGTCTCGACATTACACTGCATGAAGATATCATTGGCAGTGATAGGATTATGTACATCTTAAGGTAATCATATGTGCATGTAGTGCTAAAATACTTTGCTTGCATGACTATGTATATGAAAAACATGTTTGTGTCTGTGTATTAAAGATTGCAGTCTTGACTTCTGTACATCACTATGCTGACTAGATCACCAAAAATATGCCTCCTCTAATTTCCCTTGTAGTTACCGAGAACTACAATAAACTATAACAATATCAATGAACATAATCATACAAAAATAACTGAGGCATTTAAGTATTGATGAATTGCTATGAAAGTTAATCTATGTAGGATAGATGTATTTAAAGAGTAAGGAAAACTTGTCTGATGTGCATCACAACTGAAAAGAACACTGTTGATGTTGAAGCAATTAATCTTTCCACTTTAAGGCAAACAGGCAGGGAGTGGAATTAATGTTCTTTTGGGTGAGACGAACACTTGTACTGAGTAATCTCCAGTTTTTAGCAGTGGAACACTTCAATCAAATTTCACTTGTCAGTAGACTTCAGTGATATATTTTAATACAATGAAGAAAATAGACTTAACATATACAGGACTAATTCACTTTAACTTACAGTAGTAATTCGAATTCGCTTTTCCTTCATGTGTTTTAAGTTTGGATGCTAAAGCTTTTGCTTCTTGGCAACTCATCAAGAGCTCACAGCCTTTTGAAGCTGGAGCTTTGTCTGGCTATTTTAATATATACAAATGTTTAACATTGACATCCATGCATACAGTCTGGCTTGATCTTTAGTGTAGAATGTACCACTGACTAAATTAAATTTTGCAATAATATATAACTAAATCAATCTGTTTATGACTAAATACTTGCATGGATAACATATTGAAGGCTACAACAGATGATGCTGGGATATTTTATTGCATGCCAGTGTACCATGAGCCAGCATGTGATTCTACTTTGATTATTGCATTAAAAATGTACTTGCTTAAGCTTTGATTTCAAATTCTATTACTTTCAGAAACTTGTTATGTAAAATTTTAAAGTGAAAATATACACAAGCTTATTATACATGGCAGTTTTATGCATCAACTATTATTTTATTATTCATGAAAATCCTCTTCATAATAACTAAGTGTATGAGTGGCCCTTGTTATGGTCAAATTGTGATAATTAAATTGTATGTTTTTATTTTTAGCAACATTTATGATACAACTTAATAATTCCTGTTAGGTGAACTGCATGAAACGTGGTGTAAGAGTTTGAAAGGAACATTATACCAAGTATTGTTGTGGTATCTGAGATATGCAAATTACAGCCTTATGTATAGGTAACTTTTGTTGTTAATTCTTGTCTAGTTAAGAATGGGGTCTGATACAACTGCATATCCATGTTTTAAAAAGTATATAAAATACAATTTGCAGTCTGATTACAGGTTTCTTATCCATAGATCATCTGGGTTGTCTTACAACCAGCAAGATTTTTTTGTTTTGATTTATAGTTGATCAATACTGGGCAAATATCTCATTCTGAACAATAACTTACATTGTAAATTTGATGACCTTGGAAATAACTATAACTGAGACATTGCATATTTAGCCCTATTGATATGTTGTACCACATTTAAACAACAAACCTGTTAAAGAATTTAACAAATGTTTTCATAATTTATATAGTAACTACAAGTTACAAGGAAAGGTTCTAGTCATTTTGTTTCCATTTGTGTTTATCATTTCCAATATCCTTAATAGATGGTAACAAAAAGTCACAAAGGTCTTACAGGGGGCAGCTTGAACTCAGTGAAACAAGTTGGGTTCTGCTGAGAATATCAAGCAAAAAATTCCCTTTATTCCAACAGTAACAACAAGAATGTTCATTAACTTGTTCTTGTTTTCTTTTAATGATGAAGAGCACGAGCAAAGGCAACTGTGACAAATGTGGCAATGAAAGTAGCCAATCCAGTTGTAGGCACTGCAGAGCCAGACACAGTAACATCACGATTCATCATTAAAACTTTATCAATGACATGAACCACTCCATTGACACATTCAACGTCTGTGCGGAGAAACCGTGCCTTAATGCCGTTCCACTCCAGGAAGTACTCTGTAAAGAAATAATAATAATTAATATAACAATCTTAGCATTCTTGGGTTTAGGGAGGTGCTCTCCCGCGAGACACTCGGCCTGTTACTCACCTCACCGCACTTGACTGCACCACACGAGAGATAATTGTATGTAATGAATTATAGCAAGTTTGTTATAGGAGATAAAAAGGTGGGGGTTTGTTGCAATATTTATACCTTCATTACTTCATGTGATTGCAATATGAACTTTATTCCATTATAAACCATATATATTTAGGAAAAATTAGTTATAGAAGAAAAGTTGTGAAAAAATTAATATTTCGTTAGGTTAATAGTGGTATAAATTTTGCGCTCTGATGAGCACATAAGTTAATTGTACAGTCCCCCAAAAAGTATCATTAGCCACGGATTCAAGGCTTTCCAAGCAATGTTACTCGACCTGTTTCAGAATGGTTGGTAGTTCTACATCCACGACTTTTGAGCATGAATGAGTACTGTACATACTCTTTTGAACGATGTGAATTCTCCGAGGCTTCAGATAATATATTACATGAATCGGAGTGGATGTCATAAATGGACATCAATGCTATGCCAGTCATCAATGGGATCTTACATCAAATGGAGCAAGGAATTATCTGGGAAACGTCGCAACACGTGAAAGGTGCTAGTATTGCCCTTCACAATGAGGGTATATATAACACTGAGCTAGGATGGCATGAACACACAGTATCATGATGGGTTATGCACTATGAAACAACTGCTGTCATACTGAAACTTATAATGATAAATGTCTTACAATAAATGGATGGAAGGTTCTGTTACCTGCAAGTTGATTTATTTGAAACCTTATTTCGTTGTTAAACCAAAGCAATTTATATAGTGTATAAGTAACATGGCAGATCCCATGTACAGTACAATTTGCTCAGTCACTTTTCATAAGACAGACATATCGTGAACAACAACAGTAGCCATACTGTGAAACTCGGTATGAATAAACACCATCAGTACAGCGATGTAATGGTGAAATGTTAGTTTTAAGGGCTCGCGTCAGACTCCGTTATGATGTTCTGAAACACTTCCATTTAATGTACATTTCAGTGTTATTGTAATCATCAGTCAGTGGCATGTTTACATATGCCTTGCTTCTACCCAGCACGATACATACATTAATATAGCTTAATGGATTTTTTGTTATACTGAAGTATTTAGTATGCCATACAAGGATGACTCCCTCCTCCAATCCTACCCCCACCTCTAGCTGTTGTTGATATGGCCAGCAGGCGTACCAACCTATGATGATGCACTGGGGATCATATCAAAGCATTTCGTCTCGTGTTTCAAATTGTAGCAACGGAAAATTTAATGATTCTTTTGGGGAGGACTGTACATATTGAGTCATAGCAAGCATGCTATTGGAGATAAAAAGGTCGAGTTTGTTGCATTAGCATTATAGATACAATATCTACAAATAGTTTTATAAAGACAATCACAATAAAGTTATTAAATCTATATGCACGTGCAAGTATAACACAAACTGCAGTGCAAGACTGCCACTCAAGCTCCCATAGGTGTGTATTAGCTCCTGTCTCATGGCAATAACAATTATATAAATTTGGGTTAATATGTTTAGTTATATAATCCAATCACCCTACCGTAATTTTCCATAAGCTGAGAGTTGCCATGTGCTGTTCATGTGAGGGTAAATTCCTATATCAGTTGGTCGACCTTGAGAATGTAAGGTTAGACTGGCCTCTCCTTCAGAGGCACCTCCCTTCACAGGACCAGTCCTCACTTGAAGCCCCCGTCCTTAACTAACACTCACAGCTTACAGTGTTAATTACGGTGCATCTACTAATAGACTGTGACCAATATAGTTTACCAATAAATGGAGAAAAGACCATTTGGGGTTTGTAACTTAACCCCTCAACTCACTTATATATAAGCCAAGTTAAAGGGAACTCTACCCAAAGCTTATATACTATATATATAAAGGTGGCAGCGAAAAGAGAGAACCATTAACTGAACCAGTGAAGCAGTGTAACTAACTGTGCAAGTAACCGACGTCACTGTAACCCAAGTAACAGTGAAATATTCTAAGTGTCATTCTCCAAGGCAACAGACTATATACCGAATATATTCTCGTGAGTGACGTTATGTGTCAAGTGATATATTTAAATGTCATCCCAGATCGACATACAAAATTTTTTTTTACTCAAATAACATTTAAGTGAGTAACATAATTCACTGTAGTGTGGCAACACCTCGTGACGACAAGCCGATAGCCCCCATCTCAAGTGGACGCCTGCCGTGTGGGAGTATCCACCACTACAAAAGACTCAACGTCAGACACCCTACTGTACCCAACTCTCAAGTGTTGTGGAGACACTGTCTGTACATTGTTTTTCCTTCTCAAAGAACAACCGACCCATACAGCTACAATACAACCCTGTGTTCCAAGGCACAGTTAAGAAATGCCTTTTAGACATCCCAAGTTGTTTAACTAAGTGTCTCTGTAGTGTGTAAAAACAGACTGTTGTAAATTCTTTGTGAACCCAGCTACATCTGGTACAGGCCAACTACTTGACCTGTCATACTCAATCAACTCCAAGAGCTCTACCAGCTCTAAGGTGCATTAACCTATGTGACCTCACAGGATCGCCTCACAACACCAGTGAGAGTTCATAGAGTTAGCCATCCATCACCCCTCTAGTGGTTGACCACGGTTACTCTCGTCAACACCAGACGCCATCACGAATTCTTCAAGGACGTCATCTTTAAACTACACACCAGCAACCCTGACCGTGAATCTCGACCAGCTGACTGTCATCCAAGCTGCTGAAGTCTATGGGATTAAAGGCCAGATTTTCAAGAAATTCCCAGAATTCTTCAATCAAGCCCCGACAGCTTATATATTACACACTCAAAGTTTCTGTATTTTTTACATAAATTATACATATTGTGTGTACTGTACAGTATAGGAGCTGGTGGTTGACCTCTCTCTCTTAGCATGAACAAGTCATTAAGGTACACACAACAGGGCTCGTGTATAAGAAATCTAATCTTAAGTTATGTAATATGACTCGAGCATTTCATAAGTTTACAAAAAAAATTAACTTTGAGTTAAAAAAAATAACTTCAGTATTGTGATAATAACTTTTCTATCTTTATAATAATAATAATAATAATAATAATAATAATAATAATAATAATAATAATAATAATAATAATAATAAATACAGTAAAGCTTTTACTGTTGTCTAAATGTGAAAACTTGAAACTGCATCCCACAGGTATGACTACTCATTAGGGTCAGTGTCCACTGTAACAAACATAACTATTTTAAATACCTATGGTGGAAATATAAGGTTTGTAATTAGAAAGGTTGTGAACTTCAATTTAAACTCTAATATAAGTGGAAACTGCATAAACAAATTACTTGTCAATAAGAACACCTTTATGTGAGACTAGTACAACACACACACCCATACTCACTGTTAGTATCATTGGTAGCTTGAAAAGAAAGGTATGAATAAAAAATGTGAATAAAAAACAAATAACAAAAATAATTTATGTAAACAAGTTATAAACATCTGTGGGGTGATGCGTCTATACCTGCCGTCACAGATACATACAGCATAATACGGACTGAGACACATGGCTGCCAAAATGATGAGTCTACAATACTATGGTCAAACCTTAACAATTAATACTCTGTGTCCTCGTTAATCTGGATCATTATAATTTGGATTTCAGTTTAATTCGTGTATATTATTTAATAAATGAATTAAACAATTTGAATTTGGAATGAATCTGAAAAAACCGAGTGGTTCCAAAGATTTGATTATTATTATAGGAATATATTATGAAATAGATTAAGATGAATGAATTAAAGGAAAAAAATATGAATTATATTAAGATAACGTATAAAACTATGTTTGGGTGCTTAACAGTGGAGAGAAGGTGGAGGAGGGAAGAGAGAACAACTCATCACCTCCTGCTTTAAGGCCGACAATCTCTTTATAACTGCATGCAATTTCACCCATAGTTCCCATATTATTTAGGTTCATTTAGTGCCTGATTAATAAAACATTATCGAAAAAGCCGTTTTTTTCTAAAAAACATTTTTTGCTCAATCCAGAATGCGACGTCTAGCTTTATACCTAAGCAGCGAAAAATAATTAATTTTCCTAAAAAATCCCAGACTCAATCCCAGATGAGCTACTGCGCCATATAGTATATTTCTCTCTTGTTTACAGAGCGGTAACAGCCGATTGTTCCCGCTGACCTGCTCTCCCTAATAGTGTTGCCAGCACTCACCATCTTCCTACCTCCATTGTTGTCACTGCTCAAGAGGGCTGGTGCTTACCACAGAATGTGTCTTGAACACTAAGTAAATTAATTTGTAGTGTATTTATCAGAATTTAATAAATATTATTGTATAGTGTACTGTACTATACTGTACAGTAATGGGTCTCCATATGCTCAGGTTTACATGTACAAGACAATGGTTTAGTAATGCTGTTAATGTGTGCTGTATAATGTTACCTCACCTCACCCCTTTGCCTCATCAGCTAACCTCGCAGTTAGATTTATTTATTCCCGTACTTTGTTATTACTGTACTGTATGTACATTTAACAAAATAATTATGTTTCCACAGTAATTATAAATACTGTAGAATATTTTGTGGCAGTCAAGGCATAGTCAGGTGCAAAAACTGAACAGAAAACAGAATAGTTAAACATAGAAATTCAGAAATTGTCGAAAAATGTAAAAAAAATTCTGAACTCGGTTAATTCAGATTTTCCGGTAATTTGAGTGACCCAGAGCACTTTTTTTGTTGAATTAATTCCCCCTCCCCACCCGCTCCCACCACCTGGGGGTGAGTCCATAAGTAAAGACTGGGGGAGAAAGTGTGTTAACAGGGATGTGATAACTTCATGGAACAATTCTTGCTTAAAATAAACCAAATACTGTAAACACCTCTTGAAGTTTGGCAGAACTTTCTCTGGACACCTTGTACAAGTACTATATGTCAAAAAAAGGAACTTCCATTGCTAACCAAGGTGGACTGTGCTGTTCTTAAGATAGTTCCTGTAATAACCTTCTTTCTATTAATAGATACAGTACTCAGATACTAATTGTGGGGATAAACTCATGTACATTACCATACTACCATATAAAGCATTTACTGAAATTTTGTGAGATGAGCATATGTGTAAATGCAGTGCATAAATTACAGCCAATTATTTTTTTTTTATTATACTGTACAGTGTGTGTGTGAAGATACCATATCAGTTGTACAGCTGACAACCATTGTGGACATCTTGGACAAAAATTTTCAATAGAAATATAGAGAAATGAAGTATAAAATCTAATTTTACAGCCCAGAGCCAAGGTGAATGGCTGCTTGACATCCAGCACACTGAAGGCAACTTGGCAATCTACCTTTTGCTACAGGGCCCTATAGTTCAACAGGAGGATGCATTTTCCAGGTGATGTGCCTGGGGATGTAGCAGCTGCCTAAAAGCATAATGTAGGTATTCAGTAAGGAGTCAAACTTGTAGTGGTCTGAGATCTCCAAACCAAAAGTGTGGATTTTGATCCTTAATCCACGAGTCCACCAACTTAATAAGTAATAGGGACCTCAAACACTTACTGCTTGAGAATTAGAACCAACAATTAATTAGTAGACAAAGGTCATAGGTCAGCAGGATTAAAGGGAGTATCCTATTAGGACATAAGTTAGAACGTGCCAAGATTTATACAAAATGAGAAGTAACATTAAATACTTCCTGGAGTAATACAACTTGAATTGCAAACTCATTTATTAATCAACCTTGAGAACAAAGTTCTTTCAGTGGCTTCAGCAATTCCAAATGGTTGAAACAATAAATTTTCACTTGGTCACACTTAGTGACTTTGGTAGAATGATGGGGGAGCAAATTCTTGTCACTGAGGACATCAACACAGTTGTGGGGAGCAGAAGAGACCACCTAGCCTGTTTTAAAGATTATCCAGTGATAACTGTTTTATGTACTCAACATAAAGGTACTGTACTATATGGAAAAGTGAATTCTTTAACCTAAACCTCATAAATAAAATTGTGAAGAATGCTTCCCCTTATAGCACACAATATTATAAGGCTTAATAACTACCGGTACTTTAATTACTGTACTTATAATGTTAATTCTGTTTACACCATCTTCCTTGTCTACACACTTTTCAGAGAGACTAAAGTCTGAGAAATAAACTATACTGTAGTCTGTTCACTCGTACTTAGCAACTGAGGTCTAGGGTCAGTTTGTAACAAGGCAGCTGATTGGCTGGCAGACCGACACGATTAAAGTCACAATAGTTCTTTCGTATTTAATCTATCATACAGTATATTCTAATATTAAGGGATAATAATGTAGCACTCTGTGTTGATCTTTGAATATTTAGAATGTGAAACGGTCTGGTAACATAAATATCTTGAAGAGAACATGAAAGGGAGTACAAAATTTCATCGACATCATTCACCAAGTTGCATGATGACACGAGGAGAGGAGGAGTTTATGTCTTTATGTCTCCGAGTTTTTTCATCATGTTCTTGTTCCTTTTATGATATTTTTATTACCAGTGCATTTCACACGCAAACTTTTGCTTCCACACATGCAGAAATTATCAGAGATCAAAACAGAATAATTATATTTATTATCCCTTAAAATAACAGAACATTAATACAATAGATTTAATACTAAAAAATTGAAGTGAATTTTCCCATGTCTGTCTGCCAGCCAATCAGCTGCCTTATTACAAAGTGACTCTAAGCCTCATTTGCTGAGTACGAGTGAACAGACTATATAGTCTATTTATTATCACTGTCACCACTGTCTGACAGCCTGTATTCCACACTTGTGTGAGTTAACTGTGATTACCTCATGGTATGGTATCCCAGTTGCTCTCAAACAGGTTTATGGTTGGATATCCTTTCTATTGCCAACCCACTTCTACAGTGGGAGAAATTTATAAAGAAATGTTCTTGCAAAAATCAAACATGTTACAGTATTTATTAGTAGTGAGAAACAACAATGCATCTTGTTAGAATATGTAACAATGATGTAGCTGGTACAGATAACCTGGAGCACTCTTTCCTGACCTCAAACTGTTCTGCTGAGCCATTCAACTGCACAACTGTCTTAAACAATGCACTTAAAACAATAACTGTTTAAATATGCTCTGACTGGCTCCCAACTAGTGAGAGTGACTGTTGACTGGTGTTCTCACACTGATTTATAATACAGGATGGTTGGTTGTTTACTGATGCTGTCTGCTTCAGCTGACTGGTAAGTGGTATTGCTTGGTACTTAGTACCTTCAACTGTTACCAATGATACATTGATCTTAAGTTGTTTCTTAAAGGACTCCACAGAAATTCAGCTGCTTCATGGATGAAGGCAACCAATTGTAAAATTTGGTTGATGTATAGGAAAAGGACCGGGCAGCTAAAGAACAATCCCGTACTGCTCTAGGCTCAAGGTGTGAAGGATCATCACTATTATGCAAAATCATTTCAGAATGTGGAGTCAGTGGTATTAGTAGGCTGGCCAAATACTTGGGCTTACAAAATATTAGTGTCTTAAAAGTCATTAGACAGAGCTTGTACTCTATACTTTCTTGAACTGGAAGCCAATGTAATTCGATCAAGAATTGGGTATTGGGAGTCCTCGGTGGGAGAGCAAAATTAAGCCTGGGAACCTTGTTCAACACTGTTTGAACTTTCTTCAGAAGACAATTAGATAGACGGACCCATAAATTGTTACAATAGTCAACTCGAGACAAAATAAGTGAATGTAATAGTGTCACAAGACACTGTAACCGTATACTACTATAGATTTCAAATGTGAAAGTTGCTAATCTTAACTACTGAATTCACATGGTTTTAAAATTTAGTTTCGAGTCAAAGTACACTCCAAGATTATGAACAGAATCAACAGGAATAAGTTGTAATTCCCCAAAGTTCAAGGAGCCATAATCATTAGTGCCATCTCCCCTCTTATTTCTTTGTATATTGCAGAGATATTGTACAACAAGACAGATACTTTGTTGAGAAATAAATTAATGCAATCCAGGAGGAAGTTGATCAAAAACCATTATCATGGATTCTTTCTCAATTAGTTTAACCAATAATTGATCTTTTTCAAATGTCAGGTAATCTTCAACATTTACCCTGCACTTCATCTATATCTCAAGAAGGCTCAGTAAAAGCACAGACTCGTTCCTTGAATTGGAATCAGCAGAAACAGATTTACCTGTTCCTTCTTCTCCCTTACATGTTACAAGTCCTCAGTAAGCTGAAGTAGTTTCATGTGATCACTATTCTGGAGGCTGCTTCCTCACTATGGAGGGTCTGTTTCCTTCTTATTCAGTTATGTCCAAAATCTATCTAGATTTCCTCTCTGGCCGTAAGCCAGGGAGGAGAGAAGGAGTTAATAGTCCAGTCCAAATTTTGAGTTTTACAATTATATGCCTGGATTTTCCATTAAGATACAGTAATATTAATTTATAGACTTCTTTTCCTCCGGATATGTTTTCCTTATTTTTGTATTCGGTGAAAATGAAAGCATAGTAGTATATCTTCCCTGAAGTAAGTCTTTATGGAAGACTTGACCCTACCTCACCAAGACTTCATAAACAGTGATGATATAATAACTTGTCAAAATCAAGACTAAGGTTGGGACATTGCCTCCCACCTGTCAAAAGTTTCAAGAGAAAGGCTGTACTCATACAGTACAAGTGCACCAGAAACATAAGTTCTTTAACATGGTGATAAATCAGTCCTAATATCTGGCTGCCAAAACAAATTCATTTAGTTATACTGTATCCACAAATAACTATTGGTAACTTCTTACACCACAAAACTGCTTAACAATAAGCAAAGTGCAAATAGGAACTGTAACAAGCCTAACTGTATTGGGATGATTATGAGCCAACAAGCAGTAATACAACAATGTGAAGGACACCTACTGTCTCATCCAGCAAAAAAGCAGAAAAAGGTTACCTAAAATTCTGTAGTAACAATACTGACAGATCCTGAGTGAGAACACAGGTTCATGGTTCTGAGGTGTTTCAGCAACTACCACATCGCTGTACGTCTTAAAAGGCAAGCTGACGAGGAACCTGATTATGGACTAAATGCAACTTTCAGTTGAATACAGTACAGGTAGTGTGTTCCATCACTAAACTACAGAGCCCAGTAATAATTGGCAGATTGTCATGTGACATTTAATGTCTTGCACCTCAAATGGTCATTCACCAAAAGCCAGTCGGCCATGAAACTGGATATACACGGAATGAAACGTAAGGAATTTATAAATAGGACAAGCATAAGGAAGTAGACATTAAACATATCAAGCGTGGTAGCATACTGTACTGCAAAGAAACACACACAAAAAACCTTAGGATATACCTCCCTCACCTTCTGTGTCACCTGTATCTATGAAGTCTGTACCTGAGGAATTTGTTTTAAATCTCATTAAATGATACTACACTGTTCTGAAACAAAACAGCTTAAGAGAGTAAACTTAAAAGAAAACAAAACTGATAATTTACACACCATTTCCTTTTGACTGATGGGGTCAGAAAAAAAAGACATAGGAAAATTAAATTATTTTGAAGCTACTTACTGTTTTACCTGGTGGATGATCATATACTGTACAGTACTTGGAATATGACCATTTGCAATGCCTTTTGAAGTAATGTAGCTTTAAACTATCAACAGATTTGGATATAAAACTTTTCCAATCACATATACACCACTTGAGAGAGAGAGAGGCTACATATGGGTGATGCTGGCTTATGTGATATATGAGGTACATTAACCAGATCTGGGGCCTTATTGTTGATGGGGAGGACTGTACAGTAGAGGATGACATCCATTTCAACATAAGAGTGAATGAATGACAACTAATAAAAGGAGAATATGTGTTTGGGTTTACTACCCTCGTTGAAAAAAAAACACACACGCACACACAAACACACTATACTACTACTTTGCTGTCACTTGGAATCGAGTACCTGTATGAGGATCATTCAGCTGTGATACAATGATATGAGTTATTAAGGATGTCATCTTTGTTGGTGAGTTCTGAGATGACTAGGGAGGCCGATACGGGACCGGCAGGATCGTCCACAGGTGCTGCATGTGTCGAGGGTGATATCTAGTGTAGTAGGGGCGGCGGCAGCATCTTTCCGGCACCTTTTCAGGTTTATCTTAAGACTATACTTATACCTCTTCAGTTGCCCGCCAGCGTTACATTTACTAATCGTTAGATGACTGTAAAGTAGCTGCTTTGGCAGTTATCCATGCGGGTAACATGGTCAGTCCAATGTAGTTGTTCATGGATAATGGTAGACTTGATGCTTCTACAGTTGGTGTCAGCAAGAATACTGGCATTTGTTCCCTTGTCTTCCCAGCGAACTCGGAGGATGGAACGTAGACTACGTTGATGAAAGTTTTCAAGTGCCTCCTGTATGTGACCCATGTCTCACTGCCATATAGTAGGGTGGGGAGGACCACTGCTCGATATGCGTGTAACTTTGTAGATAATTTCAGCTCCCTACAGCTGAAGACACAAGTACGGAGTCTGCCAAAGGCTTGAGATGCACATCTGATCCGATGTTGAATCTCTTCATTGATGTCCGCGGTGGTGGACAGGTGGGAGCCGAGATACTGAAAGTGGGTAGCATTAGAGAGGGTAGTACCATTAAGTTGGATGGATGGTGGAGGTGTGGCTGAACCAGGCTGAAAGAGAATCTGAATCTTGCATTCATTCACCTCAAGGCCAAAGAGTGCATACGCATCTGCATAGGTGTTCAAGATCTCCTGTAGGTTGCGTTCAGTGCGAGCGACAAGGGTGAGGTAATCTGCATACTGAAGTCCAGTAATGGAAGCTGCCGACACCTTTGTTCCTGCCTGGAGTCATCTTATGTTGAAAAGTCCCTTCATCCGGTACTGGATGTTCACCACGCCGACTAAATTGGCACTGGCACGAGGAAGGAAGGCAGCTAAGAAATTGGAAAAGAGAGTTGGTGCCAGTACACAACCTTATTTTACCCCCATTTGGATGGGAAAAACTCAGACTGGGTGCCATTGTACAGGACACTGCCATTCATGCCATCGTGGAGTTGCCTCACAATGGCGATGAATATTGGTGGGCAGCCAAAATGACTGAGGGCTTCCCTGTTGACCGAGTCAAAGGCCTTGGTTAGGTCAATGAAGGCCATGTACAGATCAAGACGCTGTTCTCTGCACTTTTCCTTATCTGGCGGGCAGCAAAGATCATGTCAGTGGTGCCACGTGATGGTCTAAAGCCACATTGAGATTCTGGGGAGGAAGTTTACCGCCTCAGAAAAAAGTCTGTTTAGGAGGACTCAGGTGATAATTTCCCAGCTACGGACAGCAACGAGATCCCGCGGTAGTTGCCACAGTCTGACCGGTCTCCCTTGTTCTTATAAATATTGGCGATTGAGACATCTTTAAGATCTTGGGGGATTTCCTCCTGTTCCCTTATATTCTCCAAGAGAGAGAGTAGAGATGACTGGTAAGCAAAGGTCCTCCTGCTTTATGCACCTCGGGTGGGATTTCATCAGGCCCTGAGGCTTTATTACTTTTCATCTGTTTGATAGCAGCAGCTATTTCATCCAGGGATGGAGGATAGCTGAGATGGATCAGCTCTTTCCAGCGCTGAAGGAGGCCTTCATCATCTTTAGTTAGGGAGTTACCGTCAGATGAGGGGGGGGGGGGATGGGCAGCTTCTCCTCCTCCTCCTCTTGCTGCTGCTGCTGCTATAAGAGTGATTAGCTCATAAAATGTTTTAGTGGAGTTGAAAAATTTGCACATCTTGTGTTGATATGCAAGTTTTTGTGTTTTACATGTTTTATTTTTCAACTATTCATTCTTTAGATTGCGAGGTTCACTCTGGGCCGCTGCTTTCTTCTTGTGGAAGGTATCAGCTTTGATATGAGTCTGTACTCACCCCTGAAGATATGAATTACACGAAAGTGCTTGGGAACTTTGTGTTTTCTTTTTACTTGTGGTTATCAGCATATACCTGGATCACGCGCACCTACAGTGATTTATTTTGCATATATATATATATACTGTATATTGTATGCTGATTACCACATAGGTAAAAAGAAAACACAAAGTTCACATCTTCAGGGGTGAGTACAGACCGTACTCACCCCTGAAGATGTGAACTTCGTGTTTTCTTTTTACCTATGTGGTAATCAGCATATACATGGATCACGTGCACTTACAGTGACGTGTGTGTGTGTGTGTGTGTGTGTGTGTGTGTGTGTTCATTTTTCATGTTAAGTTTTCAAAAATAAAGTTTTTTGTTAATCCATTAAGTACCATAAAATACACACACTAATGACCAGGTAATAAACATGTTGCTCTTACCATTAAGTCTGTAGTTAACTCTAGCTTGGAAATAGATCTTTCCACGAGTCATCTCAAGACGTTCCTCAAAATATTGTCCTCTTTTGGTGGCGTTGTTGGTGAGGGCAGTCAACTCTTCCAGGCTCAGATCTTGTCCCACTATCATATGACGTTCCAGAATATATTTTACCTGAAAATGCATTCATGTACTTTTTTCTGCATTTTGTACCGTGCATGATACTGCAGTGGTGGTAAACTAATGGGGGAAAACTGTCTGGTGTTAAGCATATCTATTATTCAGTTACGTAAATCTGTGCAACTTTGTTAATTAAACTTTTGACTGACAATTTGTGCCAAACAACTGCTATGAAACATTACAGAACTTATTGCAATATTGTGTATAAGTGGCAGGATAGTGAGTGTGACAGCATGTACACCACAACTGTTACAAATGTGTTGGATGTAATTCAATGTATTGGGGATGACAGTAAATGTCTGGGGCCTTAATGGATACTATTTGGAAATATCAAATATACAGTACATGGATTGTTCAGGGATATATGGTTAAATATTCTATCATAAAGTGTGCAAATCTCAACTGACATAAAGCATAATTACCATTTTTTTAATATATCTGATTAATTCAAGATTATGACAACAATAAGGGCTTCAATTAAAGTGGATAACAATGTGTTTTCCATGCATTATGAAAACAGCTGATAAAATAATTGTGCACCAAGTTTGCAAAACCTGAAAAATATTGCACTTACATGGTAGGCGAAGGTGCCCATAAAGAGTTTCTTGTAGGCCGAGGGCAATTTGCGATGGATCATCTCCCACGCACCATTACTTGGCACAAACAAAGTAAATCTTTCGTTGCGTGATTTAAGGCGTTCATTCCAATGATCTTGTTCACTCAGAGAGAAGGTCAAGCTGTGAGGGAATAACAGTTTAGATTCCTGGTTACAAAACAGTTACAAAAAAAGAGTAAAAATAGCCAAGAAAACACAGCAACTCCTTGTTTTACAAGATTTCACTTTATTGTACACAGTTTATTATAAAATGATTTATTAATGTAGGAACACTTTTCTTTACACAGTGTTCTTCATCATTTTAACATGATCAACACTGCCAAGAAATAGTCCCTCAGAATCCAGCCCAAAAAGTCTACATGTGGTACAGTACTGTATTCTCTCTCACAGAGTGCAGTTACCATCATGTTTGTGTATCTATGATAAATCTCTGTCCTTCCTTAATGACTGTGAGTGAGAAACATACAACTACAGTAGTGTTTGATTAATATGTTTCACTTAACTTGGTACTTTTCCAAAATACATCCACTGTATTCTGTTTAATGAAAACGACTGCATTCTGAGTTAAAATAACAAAATTCTAATTCTGTACAGTACTTATTGGTCTTTCTGTCACATATTTGGTACAGCAGATCCTTAATATACGTAGTGTGATTATACTGTATATTGTGTCCTTAATAGCGTGGCGCCCTGAATTACTTCCATTTTTGGTTATTGTACGAAGAAGATCAAGAAAAATGAAATTACTACAGTAAATGGACCACTGTGTTCATCACTTGACAACAAGTGTGAACAATGTACAGTACAGTACAGTACAGTACAGTACAGTACAGTGCAGTGCAGTGCAGTGCAGTGCAGTGCAGTGCAGTGCAGTGCAGTGCAGTGCAGTGCAGTACAGTACAGTACAGTACAGTACAGTACAGTACAGTACAGTGCAGTGCAGTGCAGTGCAGTGCAGTACAGTACAGTACAGTACAGTACAGTACAGTACAGTACAGTACAGTACAGGGCATTTTGTACTGTAACCAAATATAACCTACAGTACCATGAGCAAAATGAGAAAGGAAAGTAAAATAAATGTTGCTGCATCTGTTGGTACAGTATTAAGAAGAAAATTCATGCTGTTACTTTTGATGAGAAATTTTAAATAATCCCCTTCAAAATGCCCCGAGAGCTGCCCTTCTACCTTCAAGCAGTAATTTATCTTCTCATCTGTGGCTACTCAAATCCAGTAGAGCAATATTCCATTATCCGGAACAATTGGTGCAGAGCACTTCCGGGGATGAGAGATTTCCAGGAATCCACATGACTTTCTCGAACCCGGAAAAATCCCTCATCCCCAGATTTTTTTCCGGTTACAGTGGGAAAGTTTTCCAAGAGTCTACGCATCTTGGACAGACAGATGCTTGCCCACATTCCCAGAAAGTTTCTAGGGGCTGGGGAAAGTTTTCCAAGAGTCTAACCTTCTGTACCAGACTGTAAAAACATTTTTAGTTATGATAGAAACTCCATTTCTTTACTAAAATAGTTCTGAATAGTTTATCTAAATGGTTGGTTAAATAAATATACAGTACAGGGTCTTTAAAAAACTAAAAATCAATATGATACTGGCATGCGAGGTGCATTATGAATGAAGCTGTGTGTTACGGCGAAGACTGGTATTTTCCACTCGCACGGAGCTGTGGGTCTCATGTAATTGACCTAACCTGACGCATTGTCAGGTGGAGGTAGGGTGAAGGATTAGTGGTCTCGTATTACTGATCTTCTGATGCAATGTCAGGTTACCCTTTGTTGGGTGGAGGATTAGTGGTCTCGTATTACTGATCTTCTAATGCAATGTCAGGTTACCCTTTGTTGGGTGGAGGATTAGCGGGTTTCATGACCTGAAGATGTCTCCAGTAAGATGAAACCTAAGAAATTTTTGAGGCGCGAGGCTGCTAGCAAAAAGTGCATAAACTTTTATTCATAACATTTACTCTAATTGAGTTAGATAATTAAATGTGGCACCATTGCATATAATATTATGAAAATGCCTTCCTGATTATGTTATTTTTTACCTATGAGATATATACAGTATTGTATATGAAGGGTACAGGTATTAATAAACACAGATTATTACAGTAATGTATCTTTACGAATTAATCAGTAACAAATAAATAATGTACTGTACAATATTGTATATGAATGACAGCCATAGAAAAATGAGTGAGAGGTAGTGGGCGGCAGTGGGTGGGAGGGAGGGAGACACGACCCTTGTGGGGTTAAAGGTAAACTGACCGCGTGGTCAGTTTCCTCCCCCGAGGGCCCTGCCATCACCTCCTGTTCTAATTGTGTTAGAGAGATGAATTTGATACCATAATGATGTTGAATAACTTCTTTATGTTTCTAATAAAAGATCCTTAATTTAAACAAAATATTTCGCCATGATACAATGATCAATTTTTTTCATTCTTGGCACTGTTTCAACACTGTATTCTTGGCTGATTTTGTTCTGGTACAGTGATGTACAGTACTGCACAACACATATTGTACACAAAAACAGCAGCTTGCGAGGGAGCAACTCTCTACAATGGCAGCAGAATATGAACTAAGCAATCCAAGCAGCTAGGCCAGCCCCGCACCTGGCAAGTGGGGAGGCATTGGAGCATAATGCAACCTCTAGGAACTCCTTGAAAATTTATTCCCAGGCTCAGAACGGTGAAGTTTGGAGAGAGTTTCTGGAAATTTTCTCAGAATTTTTCGAAATATGCGCATGATTTTCAATCTTAGTAAATCGTTCCCAAACCAAGAATTGAGAGAAATTTTCCAGAAAACTTCAGAGTAAATTTCAATTCCGGCTATTGGAGTTCCAGCCAAGAGGGAAGTCAGCTAATGGAGACACTTTGTGGAATTTTTTTGAATGAAAAAAAAAAAAATTATGTTAAACTTCTGATGATGGCTAACAATGGATGTTGTTGTTACACTAGCTGTTTGTGGTAGAAAATTAAGTCCTGAAATTGTTAAAATTATTGTACAGTTATACCCTGTAAACTGATGTCTCATTAACCAATGCTTCGCATAACTAACAATTATATACAGTATTGTTGAAATACCCCGCAAGTTTCGTTGACTACCCCGTTGACCCGACTATTGAGGGAGGAGAATCAGAGTGCTATTGAGTTTGGCAGATGGTGACGTACTGGGAATTCTTGCCATGGGTACTCAAATTTGCATTTTGTGAATTATCAAGACTCTACAGTATATCTCTCTCTCATTTTTCTCCTGTCTCTTCTCTTTAATTTTGTGTTAGGTGAGTCATGCCTAAACACCCCAGCAATACTTGTTTACCCCAGCTTATTATGGTTTATGTTTCATTATAAATAATATACTGTACAGTCATCCCTTGGTTATCACGCCTAATTGGGACCACGCCAAGTGCGTGATAACGAAAAACGCGATAACGAAAGTACAGAACCTATGGGATGTATTCTAACTGGTTCCAGGCACCCAACCCCAAGTTTCCCATTTTACGACCATTTAGACCCACTAAATATATATACTGTATAATGTTATGGTAAATATCATAAACACACATAGGCATGGCTAGGTTTATTACAAAGTGATGAAAAGGATACGCTCAATACTGTAGTCCACAAAACATGTAGCTATGCTTTCTTTATTTGAGTCCCCCATCATAAGAGTCCGTTTTCTCTCGCTTCAGGACGCCTGAGTTCTCCATTTTCTCTCAATCTTAGAGTGCAGTGCACCAGAGACTTCGTTATTCCTTAGTAATGACACAGAATTTGAAATTGCAACCCCAATTGCAACTGGGGTTGCAATTGTTGAGACAACTAGATATGTCTGATTACAGCAAATGTGTTATTGTTAATTTGTAGGTGAAAGATTTTATCCTCAATAGATGTAGGTGAAGCAAGGGGGTAACATTACACCTGGAGGCAAATGAGTGATAACCAAATTCTCGGCCTGAAAAATGCACTATAACAGCAGGTGTGCAGATTTTGATGGAGGCTTGATAACGAAAATCGCGATAACCAAGTGCGCTATAACCAAGGGATGACTGTGACATACAATATTATATAGAACAAAATATGATACAATATATAATTTGACTTCAAAATAAAAGACAAACTGAATAACACGGGAAAAGGTTCCCTGACCATCACCTCCTCCATACGTAAGGGGGAGGAGGACTGGCCGTGCCATATTTGCAAGATTTTTATTCATTATTATATTATCGTATGATCAGTCTCTTATGGTGCATGTTTCTTCATAAATAATATTATATAATAAATAATGATTACAAATGCAATATATAATTTGTAATAAGATTTCAAAATATAAGGACAAGCTGCAACAGGTCATCTCTTCCCTTCCAGCCGACTGCCGTCAATGCTAGCCTTCGACCTGACTGTTATGGATTCATTATCATTATATTGTACCATGATCAGCCTCTTATGGTATATGATTCATCATAAATAATATAATGTTTTTTACTGTATAAGAGAAAAATATATAATTTGTATATTAACTTGAGAACAAAAAATACGTTGTATCAAAGGTGACGTCTCATTTTATCTTCTCTACCTCCTCCCTCCCACAACATAGTAACCTAACAATAAAACTCATTATGATTGAAGCCATTTATTATGTCTGCAGATGGCTGTATTTTCTCCAGTAACCGTGTAGAACAGGGGCTGGATACTCAAAACACCTCATAAGTTACGTATATTAGCGAGATACAGTACCATATTTTGCAGACTCCTCACAGTCCCGTAAATTTAGCATACTCAAAATTTAATTACAGTTCCTTAAGCAGTCCGTAAGTTATCATAACTCTAGTGTTTACCCTGTAAATTCAGTTCTCTTGTCGGAAGGTAGATGGCAGTGCAGGAGCTAGTTGGCCAATCAGTGCTCAGTTAACAAAATCATCAACCAATCACAAGAGAAGGAGAAATCAGCTGAGAGCGATGCACGTGATATTAGTTTGTAAACAAAAGATGGAAGGACAACCACCTGAAGAAACGACCAAATTTCAGTGAGACTGAAGTATGCGCCATGGTGTGTGAAGTCGCCAACAGAAAGAAAATAATTTTAGGGAAATTTAGCCTAGACCCTGGTGTT